GTGTACGGCGAGACGTGCAAACTTTGTACTGTTAATAACGTATACGTGGGAAAAACAGTCACCAGCCTCAGCCAACGTGTGAATGGTCATCGCAGTAAATATTATGAGATTTTAGAGGCAAGTAGTAAGGGGAATGTTGAGAGCCACAGAGATTTTGATGACGAGAATGTTTTAGGGGCACATCATTTTTCAGTTCACAATTTGAGGGAGAGATCTGATTTCAATGAAAGTTTCCATTTTGATATTTTGTGTTCTACATCCCCAGATAATATCAGAAAGTCAGAACAGTTTTATATTAACAAATTGAAGACACTTTATCCGTTTGGCCTGAACAATGTGAATTCCGTTTCTGGAAGCTAATTTTCATGGTGTCCCGAATTTTATTTTTAAATCGTCCATTTTTGTTTATATATGCAGTCTATCAATTTTTGAATTGCATCTTTTTGATTTAATGAACTACTGCAGACTCCACATTATTATAGTATATGCCATTAATTTTGTTCCGATTTTAAACTATTCCATTTTGACGAGATGCTAAATTAATTTTTTGAGACTTTACTACATTTTTGATGAGAATTTTTGACATTTTCAAACTAACCATTGATATTCTCAGATTATGTGACTGATTAAATGCTGAAGATAAAAGAAATATATTCATTTTGCTAAGATTATGTTTGCGTTTCATTGCTCAACAGCTGTTCGAAGGATCAAATTTAAGAAACACTTGTGATTCAATTCAATTGCCGTAGAACTTAACTTTTAGTTATAAATTAAGGTGACATACACCAGAGATAGATTACAACAATAAGATTTGAGGCATTGAAAAAATTTGTTGAGACTACGCACATTCGAAAAACAAATTATTTCCTTTTTCGAAAGAAGCCAAGAGCCAAGTCAAAAATCATATCAGAACACGATTCAGATTTGATCTGTTAAGAAGTACACTCATTGCACTAAGAGGAATCAGAGGAAGATCAACGGCCCAGCATCTTGAACTGCATGACATCTCCTTCAACCTCATCCCCCAGAAGACGAGCTTTGAGGTCTCCTAGATTTGTTTATGTAAATTTTGATATTTTACTGTACTATTTTATGTTGTATATAATTTTACGGACGAAATGATCCCAGGGGGGACTCCCAACCCACCGCCTCGGCGGGTAGTTGACGCACCTTTCACAAGCAAGAGCCACTTTGGTCTACTTGCTGTGAGGTGTCTCAGCTACATGGGTTGGGGGTCCCCCCTTTTTTTTTCTTTTTTTTTCGAAAGTTTTGGAAATTTTGAGAAGTCTGTCACTGTAATACCGACATTTCAGTCATTTTAAACGTTTTTTGGTTGATTTTTTACTGAACATTATTTACAATCCGTACAAGAAGCCCTTCAATGGATTTTATAATTAAACAATAAATGACGAAGTTACAGACCAAACAAGGTCGAGAGAAGCAAAATTGAAATTTATACAAAAAATCAAAGTTGTATATTTTACCAATCACCCAGATCATACGACATCGCTTCAAAAATTCTTCATCAGCTACACATGACTGTAGCTGATGGTCATATCCAACATTTTGGAACAGGATTTCTCTAAATTTTGAGTTTTAAGGTATCAAATGTGACCTCAAACTGCAAACAACTTAGTAAAATTTAACGTAAAAATGGGCCAAAAATAGAAGATTTAAGGCTTAAAATGTGAAATGCCTACAACTCAAAAATTATCAGTTTTTTTGAAATAGTTTTTACAGAATCGTAATCAGCTTGATAAGATGAATTTTCAGTACCAAATAAGTGAATTCAGAAAACAAATTGTCTTCATACAACAAATTGTTGTACATGCGCGCCGCGCATACAACAGACAAAGAATGCGAGAGAAAATATATTATTTGATGCTCGTTGCTTAGTTTTTCATTCTGCCGCAGTGCAGTTTTAATATGTTTATGAACACTATCAGCCCGGCATTCGTAAATAAAAAAGCTAAAGTTTGCTTTTACTTAATTGCTCCCGATCCCAAGGCCAGGAAACCTTATATACTGGCTGGGGCCTAACTTCGAAAGTAAAACATAAAAGAGATTATATAGCGACTTCCGGTTTTTGCAAAATGATCGTCTTATGTTGTAAAAGTAACGCTTCCTTTACAGATTTTGAGTTATCTCAAAATCTTCAGAAAAGTCTCATTTTGGGCCGATCAAAAGTTTGCAACTTTAGCTTTGTCCTGTGATTGGCTTAATTGTATTCCGTGCTAGCTGCTTGAATATTGGAATGTTTTTTAACGGGTGATACTATATTGGACCGTTGACGAGTCCAACTCGGCGCGCGTCCTTGACCATTGTAGCGCGATGCGTTACTGTGCCGCGCCGCGCACTCAATGAGGCTTCTCACTCTCTCTCTCTCTCTAGATCAGCGAGATGCGCTACTGTGCCGCGCCGAGCTGAGATGAATTGACATCGTCAATTAACCTTGACCATTGTTAATGGTCTGGCCCGGCGCGCGCTACTTCGTAGCACTTGCCGTCGGGCCATTTCGAGAAGAAAGCGGCGCGCGCTACTTCGAAGAAATTTAGACGAGTAACATCCGTCAACGCGCGTCTTGGTAGGTTGTAAACCTACACAATGTTTTACGCGTGCAATAAACCTTAGCGCCGCGCGCGCGAGAGAGCATGAACTCGCCGTGAAGACGCGATCATCACTTTTTGTAGGCTCTTACTAAATCGCTCGCCCAAAAATTTCACGTGACTTTGGTTTTTTTGGTTTTGCAGCCGTACAAAACGGTTTTACATAAACCCTAATCCCAACCCTGACCATAACCCCGAAGCTATCCATAATCCTAACCACAACCCTAACCCTAACCCGCGAGCCCTAAATAATCGAATTCACGTTTTACTAGCCTGTCACGTGACCAAAACGGTTTTTTGCCCATAACTCTCCAGGGAAGCATTTTAACCCTACGTCATGGGGGGTGATTCGGAATCAGTGTCCAAAAATACACCGATCTAGATCACTTTCATGCCTAAAGGGCCTTTTCACAAGAATTTTCTTAAAATTTGGGCGAGCGATTTAGTAGGAGCGGCGCTAGGTAGCTGACGAGTATAAGTAATATTGCAACTATATTGCGTTGGCCAGCGCTGGCTGACGAGTAATATCGCAGTGCAACTATAATTATATGATTTTGATATATTGCGCTGGCCAGCATTAAAGTTGTTGCGTTTACACTATCGCAAAAGAAACCGATGCGCTGCAGTCCGATGCGCTACAGTCCTCCCCATCTCAATTATCAAGAGCCGTATCAAAAAGCTTTTACTTGAAACCCAGCAATTGACAACACCTGGGCGTGAAATTGAGTGGCTCCCCCTAAACAGCTGGGGCATTGAACCAGCTTAGTCAATCAGCATCCCATCCCTTGCATACAACTAATTACAAAAGCGCTAATTATACCTGTTTCAAAAGCATCCTGTCTGGAAGTTTCCTGACTGCCGTGTGAATCTTTGGATCTATTTTTGGATCTATTTTTATATTGATATGATTTTTATATACCTATATATTCCTCGCATAATTTCCATGTCCGCCTGAACAAACCTGGCACCATCAAATCTTACCTCTAGAAACCCCAGAACTCATCAAGCCTAGTCTGAATTCAAAACTAGTTGACCAGCTACGTACAGTTTCCTGGACAACTGGAACCTTTTGGGCCATGCACAAGCCAATAGCATGTATGGTCCTGCAGTGGGGTCTCCTTGTCCTTGGATCTGTGTTTTGATCCGTCTTTTCTTAAAATTTTCCATTTGTGTCACTTAGAATCACCTTTTAAATGTTAATCGACACCACTGGTCCTAGTTAAATTTAGCCATGGCACGACTACTCGAACGTAACAGTTAAATAGGTGTGACATACTATTATATTCTTATAATTATATCATATGAATTGATTGCACTGCTAATAAATAAAATACTTTGTTTTACTAAAATACTTTGTTTTACTAACCAACTACTTGATCAGACTGATTCACTTACAATCTACATCAACATGTGCATACATCATCTGGGAGTTAGTAGAAGCTGTTACGGGGATTTTCTGCTCGATACACCAGAGTCATCAGACATGTCTTAAAAGACGTATTTTTGGCCCCTAGATCGATTGGGATAATCGGAAGTGTTAAAAATGGGGTTAACCCGGTTTTATTTTGAAAAAAAGCCCGATTTTTAGCCCCAAAAATGGCCATTTTTTGAGGTTTTTTAGAAATTTCGACAGGTTAATTCAATAAAAAAGCTTAGATATTTTGGCTTCTTGTACAGTTTTATTTGCCGCACTAGCTAATACCAATATAATAAGCACACACAAGAGTTAACCCGGTCAAAATTTTAAAAAACCTCCAAAAAAAATGTTTTAAGCCGTCAGTTTTAAGCCGTCAGTTGAGTTTGCTCTCTGACTCGTGGGTTGAAAACATCGTGTACAGTACTTCGTAAGTAGTACAGCTGTACTTCACAACGATAATCCGCCTCCCCAACCAAATATCTTAAATAGTAGTAGTTGTAATTGTATGAGGTTATCTGCACTCTACATTGTGCAGATAATGAGATAAAGGCATTGTCCCTATAATCACATACATGAATGATATTGAATTATTATACTTTACGTGGTTTAAGGGGCATCCTAGAAGCCGTTATGAAACTTAATTAATCAGATATAAATCTAATTCTAAGAAAACGAGCAGGTGTAGTTACTAGTTGAGCTAACAAATCCACGTACTCTTTATTGTCATTTTGCTTCCTTGTTGTTTGTTACACTTACTGGTCAGGATAATCAACCTATCTTTGTTTGGTACTCGTACGTGTTTTTATATAAGTGCTGTTTAATAACCGCTGGTTGGAGTGAGTTTTATAATTCAGTGAATAAATACTAACTTATATTTAATTCCATGATATAGCCCCACGACACCAATGGGAACTATCCCACTACCTAAATGTTCCGGTTAAGGTTTATCGTTGGGAAAATGCCGACTTATGATGTCCAGTTTGTTGCAGATGAACTAATTTCAACTCAGGATAGATTATCCAACAAATCAACACCATTTTTGGTAGAGGTAAGTCTGGATTTGTATATTTAATAAGTTATATTAATATATAGATTTAAGTGACAGAAACTTTAGACTTGTAAATACAGACGATTTATACCATTTAAGACTTTTTGCAACAGACAGAAAAGCATGGAGAGAGTTAAGCATGATTTAGTTTATTCTGTGTTATTTTTCTCTTGGTGACTTATCAGGTCATCAAGATGTTCTTTATGTTCTATTTTTGATTTGAATAAAGTTATATAATATAATAATATAATATTAATATACCAGTGTGTCCCATTTTGATGATCTTTCATTTGTCAGACTGACAATGTCAGTGCTTTTCCGTAATTTGAGCTTCCAGCACCTCATATCAATCGTGTCTTGTGTTACCTCACTAATTGATCGCTGTAAAAAAATTCGGTCGAAAATTTCAAATTTTTATGCAGTAAACCTTATATACCAATGTCTTTTGCTATACACAGCTATACCTCGCATTTCGCCGAAACTTTAAATTTCTTTAACAAAAGAAGTAATAATCAACCTGAAATTTCAGATCGAAAGGACCATAAGTTAATGAGTTCCAACACATAATCAGTATAATTAATGTATTGATAATATAGATATAATATGCTCATTATATAATCACTAAATGCAATATGAGCTCTGATAGATCACATTTTTTGCACGAATTGGCCCAACACTTTATCAAGGAACCCCGTATAGAGAGGCATACCTCAATTATAAACAATTCCGCCCTCCAGGAGCGACCGAGGTTGCATCTTGGGAGATAAAAGGAACTACTGTTGTGCAAAAAGTGGCTGGTGCTGGCTCATTTCGATTTGTCCTAGACTTCTATATAAGGACGGAAATTTTGCAGAAAAAGTAGAAAACTTTCCCTTTGAACTGTCTCTTAATGAAAACATTTACATGCAGGTCTTGAATTGAACTTTAGCTTTTAATAAATTCTTAAACCCACGTTGAATGTGTTGTTAATAATTATTCATATATTGAAAAATTAGTATTTTAATTTAGCTAAGGATATGTCATCAAATGGAACTTTACTGAGAGTGTTGTGTATGAAATTCCATTTTGATTGTAAAGCAACTGTACTGCGACCAATTAGGGCTATTTACCAAGTAAAATACTGTCTTCCCTAACAGGCACAATGACCCAGCTGGAGACCGCCAGGACATTCAAGAATATCACCAGGTGGGATGTCCTATACTCCACTCCCTACTACAACAAGGTGCTCACGGAGGAACTGATCCAGCAACTGTCTTCCAGTTGGGGAATGTTGGGTAAGCGTAAACTTCCTTTATTATTATGAGTGATTACGTCAACCTCTGAACATGTGTATGACAATGTGCATTTTTATTTACTTTTGATATCGGAGTAATTTGACCAGACGTTGCCGTTGCAGCAGACTTTGATGTTCTGTAAACGGAAAACTTTATTTGAACGGAGAGATTCAGATATAAATGCTAAGGCTTCTAGCGTCCGTTCAAATAAAGTCCAATAAAGTTTAATGACTAAAATTTCAAAGCATGATGACTAATTATATAAATATTATATTAGATATAAGACTTCATATTCAGTTTCACTTTCAGACTTCAAATTTTCAGGGAAGTAGGTATGAATATAAGTAATAACTGCTATATGAAATAATTTATATTACCAGATAACATTGGATTCGCTGGATTCAGTTCTTTCTCTAGGAGTATTGCACGTGCAAGCTAAAAACAGTGAATCTGAGGACGAGGGGAATTTGTCATACCTAGTCAAAGTAGGGTAAGTTTCAATCAGTAGATACTGATGGGGAGGTGAACCAAATTTGTTTTGGTACCTGACAGTGATTCTTGGGTTGATTCGTCAACACAGTAGCTTGTTAATCGTTTAAAAAAATGTTCACCTCCCCACAAGAGTCAACATTTAAAATCCTCTTCTAAGTTTGTAATATTTAATTTCAAAAGATTCATTATCTTGTAATCATTGTATTTTAAGCTTGTTGGGATTATCATTATTATATTATATATCAATATGAATATGTATCAAATAAAAATCGTCCAAAATACATTATGACGTTTAAACAAGTAGAAATAAGACAAGCGAATTATTGTATTAAGTTACATATGTCTCAATAACTAGATTAATGTTGGGATCTAATAGTAATATAATTTACCACAGTTGTATTGAAGACTCAACCTTCACCTTTATCGACAAAGATTCCAACTCACAGCTTATTCTCTCCGACCCAAAAATAAAAAGATTTACCTTTAAATTTTTCAACTTTTTGGATTCCCAGACTGCAATATATGTTTCGAAACCCTTTTTAAGAGATTCGGAACACTTTTATAAGAGTTCATTTAAATTATTAGAAAAATAAATCTCATTCTGTAGATTTGCGGGGATTATTTTTTTGTTTATTATAGTGGTTGCAATTTTATTCTCATTCTCTTGTATAATGTATATATATATACTTTTAATGTATTATATATATACTTTTTGACTATTGGGTAAATTCACTTTTTATGTTGGGTCAGACATTGTCATTACCATGTAATTTAAATTTTGAATCGTTTTATCCGTTTAATTCGTTTAATCCGTTTATGTTCAAGCAAACGTCAGACGCGCTAGCCGGCTCAATATTTTTTAGATTTTGATACAACCAGACTAAAATTTTGAAGTTTGTCATATCCATGAAAAGCTAAGGTTGTAATTGATTTTACTCACAATGAATTCTTTTGCAAAGTTCCAGGGTTCACTGAATTTCAAACGACATTTCAATTTAAATTTGAAAAATTCAAATTCACTTTTGAGTTTTCGATCGGGTGCGGGTGCGGGTACGCACGTACCGCTATCGGGGCCAGAACTTGGTACGCGCGTACCGCCGTACCGGGTGCGAATACGTATTGACCAACTATATAAGATAATTTGAAGCCTGTACTGTGCAGAGAGAAACCACTCAAAAGTCAAATCCACGATTTACCGTGCACCCGAATTGCCATACTATTTTCTTTCCCCCACAATTATCATAGTATTAATTGCATCAATTTAACTGCTGTGCTGATCATAAGTGGAAAACATCTTAATGAGATCACAATGGAAATTTTAATCAAATTAAACGACAACGCTCGAATTGTTGAATAAGTGCCCTGAAATGTCTTTGACAAAAAATAACCGAACCTGATTAAGTTTCAATGTGCTCCAGACTCTGAGAAGTAATCTAGATCACAACAGCACAACATTGTAACTCTGCATCTAAGCACGTGCACCTAGTCCTAAGCACCTAGTGTTTTACATTTCCCTCTATTATAAAGGTTGACATTTAGTTCTGGAGCGTTAATAAATTTATATTTTGAGATACATTTTTTGTATTTGATTGAGCACAACGGCTGATAATTTATTTTTCACAGTCTGCGTTAAACAAATTATTGAATATAATGGAATAAAAATCATGGAGTCACATCACAATTGTTGCGGAAAGATTCTCACGAAAAAGAGGATTTGTGTCAGGAATTTATAGAATATTCTAGATATCTATATCATTCAGTCCATCGTCCTTCCTTGTAAAGTAGTCCCTCTACATCTCAATCTTCAGACTAAGCTTGTCACCAGGCAGGGGGAACTTCTCCGAGTCAAATGAAACATAGATTGCATAGTTCCCGTAAACGGGTCCACTTTTCAAATGTGGTCCTGCTCCATGATCTGTTCCCTGTAGTCTCACGTCCTTACAGGTTTGAACCGGACAGTCCTGTATGTTCGAAATGTCATGGGGCCAGTCTTTACTGAGAATGGTGTTTGTGAGTGGGTTGATGGCAAAGTCATTTCCAAGGCCGTGTGTGTTGTCGTCATTCACACCAGCTCCAGAGAGGTGTCCTCCAGTGAGTACAATCCTACAGCCGTTATTGCTATATGCCCAATTAAAAGCGAGGTCTCCACCAACAGAGAATATAGGATCGTCTCCCAAATTATCAGCATCATCGGCAATTGACTCCTGGATTGGCCCTCCTTGAGTAACAATTTGTCTGCCCGGGTTCATGTTTTTCAGCCCGAACCTGAACAAAGTTATGTTATCAAAAACTTATAATTTACAGATTGTAAGTGGTATAGCCAAATCCAGGCAGAGAATTAGTTCCCGGGGGAAAAGTGTGCATACCTTGTACTGAATGATTCTCCCAAGACTTTGAACTTGAAGACCTTGACAGCATCCACAACACCTCGCTGATGTCTCACAATAGCGATGTAGTTTGCTGGTGTAACCCACACGTTTGCACTCAAGTAGTCCTTGGTTAGGGCTTCATCATCACTTCCAATATCAATACCAGTGGCCCATCCTGAGGATAATCAATTGATCAGCCTGATGGTGTTAGGTTATTGTCCTGTAAATGATAAAGATAACGAACGCAGCTTCGCCAATCGCCCATGTCTATTTTTATAATTTGAATAATTTTTCTCGATTTGTTGTCGGAAAATGGCACAAAATGTCGACTTAACACTTACAACTTAAATCTCCCAATTTAAAAAACATGATAATAATTTCTTACCGACAGTGTATCCGAATATGTGTCCGTCAGCAGGATTGATGTTCATCCCCAGGCGCCAGGTCCCCGCCTTTTCTAGCTTTTTTTCGAGTGACTGAATCTTCTCTCCAAGTACCCCTTGTCCGTCATCAAGGGACTGAATCTTCTCTCCGAGTACCCCTTGTCCCTCGTCAAGGGACTGAATCTTCTCTCCGAGTACCTCTTGTCCTTCCTTGAGCTCACTCAGCTCATCTTTTATCGCCTGTAACAGCTGCTTGGTCCCACCCTTAGACTTCTTAGACTTTGCTGCATATAATACTCCGACTAAGAAAGTTACAAAGATAAGAAACCTCATAATGAATTCGAATTGTAGAAATGATAATTGTCTTTCTAGTCTCTAATCTACATTAGGTGTAAGGTGGGCGTTTGGATAGAAAAACCTGATGAGGTGTTTACTATTCTAATTTCTAATTTCTTTTGTGTTATAACTGTTAGAGGACTTTTTTCGTGTGATAGTTCGTCAACAATTAGGCTAGCTCGTTATAAATGCAATAAGTCTTAAAGTCTGATGATGATGATGAGAATAATTACGTTCATTGTTATAAATTTGTATAATTTCTAAACCTCGTGGCTTCAACATTCAAGAGGCTGGACATTTCAAAACAGGACCGTGTTGCTATTTTTAGAGATTAAACAACAAACTGAGGTCTGAGATAGAATTGTAACATCAGCAGGTGGGGTGGTAACCATCATGCTGAACGCCGCCGGTCAATTTGACCACGCCGCCGGTACCACTCCCGGCGTACGACGGCGTGGCGTGACTTATGTAAAATCCTAGTTTGCCATGTTATTGGCAGTACTTATGTACTAAACACAAGTCAATGTCATACATCGTAGAATTTAAACACTTGACAAGTTAACAACAACTATTGATCAACAAAAATCATCGTACAATGAACCCATTTACATTTTACTTTATTTCCCAAACTATGTTACTCATCAATCGTTTAAATTTATGAAATGATTCATTAAGATCATTATCGACCTTTTTTTGTGTTAATGAATAACCAAATTTTGTTTGGATACTTTGAAACATATCTAAAAGTGTTGAGAGCAATCCCGGAGCATTGAGGTCGCAGCATTTTATGTTCTATAAGGAATAAAAATTCGATGAGGTTAATTGATAATTCCTCGTCATAAAGTCATAAGTAACACTGGTTGGATCACAATGAAAAGGGACTAAGGTTTACTTAAAATGAATTTTCCTGACACGTTCAATAGATCTTGTAGGAAAATTGAAATATAGCGTTACAGTGAAACGATCAAAGAAAAAACAATAACAATCAAATCGACAGTCTGAGAGGGAAACTTAAGGATACAAGGATACAATACAACAGCAAACCCACTCAGTAGTCAGTCGGCAATACAACGTTTTAAGGCTACGATTTGTATTAAGTCAGCCAGATTACCTTATCGGACCTTATTTGGACGGACATTACATGAACGGACATAATTATGAACGGAAATTAATATGAACGCTCGAAGGCATTCAAAACCATGAAAAATCCGAATTTTTTTCAATCGTTTTGACGTTTTTTTAATTTCAGCAAATGATTTTTGAATCCATTTTTTATACAGTAAGTAAGAAAAGCAGTCATTAAGCAGTAAAAATGTTAAAATATGTGTACGCGATCAGTTTCTAATATCACATATCATCTTCATCAAATGGCCATGGGTTTTCGTGCATGAAATAGTCCATGCTTAAACTTAGCATCAGTGATTTCTAGCTTAATGGAAACCTTTTTTTTTATCAAACTACCCCGGTCCTGCATTTCAGTGTTAACTTTTACAAGCCATTCGGCGTGAAGTGGCTTTATCTTAGACAACTTAAGGTTAACCTTAACATCACGTGGAGCTTTCCTAGCACAGTTTCATAACCGCCCCTGAGTAATATGAGCTATAACAACGTCGGACAATGTCCTTGGCAACACGATTTACCGTAGTATCTAGAGGCTGGAACAAGTTTGTCATGTTGGCGGGGACTAGTTCATGAACTATGTTGTTGAGTGCCATAATTTCGTTGACTTTTTTCCGCCAAGTGACCCTTGAAAACATCATATGCTAGTAAAGTTTTCTGTGCCTCCGGCAGACCAAGGAGAACCTCTCCGTCGTTAACTTACGGCACAATAAAGTTCTCAAAGTTGTCATACTCTGGACAAAAAGTTCGAAATGGAAAAATTTTTGAAAAAAATTCAACAGACTTTAACTTGGACGGACATTAATTGAACGGACTTTATTTGAACGGACATTAAGATGAACGCTAGGGCCTCCAGCGTTCAAGTAATGTCCGTCCAAATAAGGTCCGATAAGGTAGTCATTATTGAAACGTATCACTATCAAGTCAGCTGTTGAAAATAACGCAGCTATAACCAGTGAACGTAGTCATACTGCAAATTAATCGCGATGCATATTCGAACGAAGTATCGTTATATAGAATTGTAATTATAGGACTTAAAAAGGCAGTTGATGGAAGTTTAGCGTCCGCCTATGGCCTAACGGGCGCAATTCTTGTTAATCATAATGTATTAATTTGAAATTCGAAATGCGACAATATAATATTTATATTTTGTTTTGTGATCATTAAAGCTTCCAATTCCAGTGCCTCAATCGTGAACTATATAAATATTTTCGGTAAAATGTTGGAAAGTTAAGTTTTATTACTATAAGGGGAAATTCTGTCAAATTTGCTGAGTACGTGATATATTATTTGTTATTGCACTGTGAATGCGTTTGATACTTTATTAAGTCGTGTGTTAAAACATGTGTAATGTTGGTACAATAATTATTAATGGAAACTTGCCCGTATTTTGCTGAGCTGACACATGTTTTCCAGGTCCTGAAATGTAAATTGGATTGTGTAATGAGTTTAAGCGAAATGCTTACATTTGTTTATGCCAGGTATTAAATCTAAGGTTGATTCGTTAACGTTTTGCTTTAATGCTTTGTATCGTGAGTTGTTAAAGAATTTGTTACTATTATTTTGGTTACATTAACAAAGTCGTCGCATTTTTTCCGCTTCCAACAGTTTTATATAACCTCCAAGGTTCAAATAGGACGTTCAATTTTCATATGCTAAAAGTTAAAACGACTAAACGCTCGATCAAATAGATACACTGACAAATGTGAAATGGATAACATGATCGATATTTTATCGAGAGAAGTGGAATATAAAGCAGATCTGCTCGAACAGCTACTTCTTTTCACTCAGTCCAATGTATTGAAATGGAGCTGGAAAGTAGGGCGAATGGGAGCAATTTTCTTATTTCTTAGCTTGCTGAAAGCTTTCCACAATACTGCTGTAAGTCATATTCCAGTAGAAATCCATGCCTTATCTCCCAAAATAAATAGGAATAATAAATATTGTCATCTGCAAAGTAAAATACTTATAATGAAGATATACACTTATAACTTTATAATTTGCTGTTTTACATTCCCAGTACAGAGAGTATAATTATGATTAAAACTTTTAAACTAAATGAAAATTTACCAGAAAATGATATATTTCATGAAGTAAAGATTAAACGGTACCAATCACCGATGATTGGTATTGTTTGAGGCTATTTGCAGTTGGTTCGCAGTCATTTCCATAATTAAAAAATCACTAAACCAAGTTAAACTTACAACTTATTGTCACTGCATATTGCATATACATGCCTGGTGATGACGATTTTTAATCCTTCCATAGTTAAAACACCGTCGATACCGTCACCTTCCCGGACCACCTAGAGACAGCTTCATTTCTGGTCACGTGGACACCTTGAAAAAACAGCAAAAGTCTCACGGTCACAGTCACAAATGGTTTTACTTTCTTTTCAGGGTAAATTAACATACTTCCATATTTTGCTGAATATATACTTATTATATATTCGTTCAATTTAAATGATTTCGAAGAATATTTCGTTTGGCTTATAGTTATATATAAAACCAGTTTGTACATAAAATGACGATATTCTTAAAGACAATATTTTCGCAACAGGAATACGGAGGTGTCTCCCTGATTTGGATCTACAGGTCTCCAAAGATTCTGATCTCTAGTCCCAGTTTTTGTAGCCTTCTCATAAGAGCTCCAAGTACTCACCAATCTAGATACGAAGTCTACAATAACGTTAGAATGATGTCTGAATTTATACGCATTAACTTTAAAAGTTATGATTAATAATTAAAAACATTTCAAATAGGAAACGTATAGAATGTACTGACTGTCAGCTCTTTTTCCGATTCTTCCAGAGCGCCATTATTAATTTTTCTGTTGATTGTACTTATAACCGACTTATTATTATGATTGATTTTAAATCCCTCGTGATCAGCTGTCTCTCCAATAGTATCTAATTCCACATTCAAACCAATTAATACTAACCATTCCCACAGTTGTCGCGAGAAGGACCCCTGGTGGATGCTGTCTCCACTGGTAAAAGTATTCTCACTGATCAGGACTCTCTTCACAGACAGCAGAGAAGAGGTGTTTACCTGAGGTCCATGCACAGAAAATCTTTCCAGCACATTGTGGATTCTGGTAAGTTGTTTAAATCGAGAATTTCGGGCGATGGAATTGCTTATAGTTATAATTACTTAATTGCAGTATTAGTCGTTCTTCCTTTCATGTTCGTGAATAATAATCCTGGACCAGGCAAAAGTCCTGCTCACATTGGGACGTCCGCTCGGTTTGTCGATGTAATCCGAATTATATGGTCTAAATAACATTAATTACTCGGGTACACTTTTTCACCAGTGGGGCATTTCTCGGAATCACGCCCTTTTTGACCGCACCCATATCGCGACCCCCACTATAAATTATCTCGGCTTCTGATTGAGATACAGACCTCAGGCATGAACCAAAATGTGCCCAGGATGCATGTTTATATTAGTGCTATGAAGATACTTAAGGCCTAAGAGACTTATTTTTTGAGAAATCGCCAAAAATCCGATTTTACTATATAACAGCCTCGCAAGTAACAATTATTACATTTATTTCAAGATATCTCAGCTTCTGATTGGAGCTAAGCGCTCATCTTGGGCATTAAAATGGTCAGCATCATCATATTAAGTGGGGTAGAGCATGGTTTTAAAGTCTTGAGACTTCAGGTTGTTGAGTTATTAGGTCAGATCCCATTTTTATGCTCTCGCGAGTAGCGATTGATGCACTTATTTCAAGATATCTCAGCTTCTGATTGGAGCTAAGCGTTCATCTTGGACATTGAAATGGTCAGAATCATCGCATTGAGTGGGGTAGAGCATAGTTTTAAAGTCTTTAGACTTCAGGTTGTTGAGTTATTAGGTCAGATCCCATTTTTACGCTCTCGCGAGTAGCGATTGATGCACTTATTTCAAGATATCTCAGCTTCTGATTGGAGCTAAGCGTTCATCTTGGGCATTGAAATGGTCAGAATCATCACATTGAGTGGGGTAGAGCATAGTTTTAAAGTCTTGAGACTTCAGGTTGTTGAGTTATTAGGTCAGATCCCATTTTTACGCTCTCGCGAGTAGCGATTGATGCACTTATTTCAAGATATCTCAGCTTCTGATTGGAGCTAAGCGTTCATCTTGGGCATTGGAATGGTCAGAATCATCACATTGAGTGGGGTAGAGCATAGTTTTAAAGTCTTGAGACTTCAGGTTGTTGAGTTATTAGGTCAGATCCCATTTTTACGCTCTCCCGAGTAGCAATTGATGCACTTATTTCAAGATATCTCAGCTTCTGATTGGAGCTAAGCGCTCATCTTGGGCATTAAAATGGTCAGAATCATCACATTGAGTGGGGTAGAGCATAGTTTTAAAGTCTTGAGACTTCAGGTTGTTGAGTTATAAGTCAGATCCCATTTTTACGCTCTCGCAAGTAGCGATTGCCAAGAAATATCAATAAAATTTCACTAAAACCTCTAGCCCTAGGAACATTCATTACCCCACTTAATTTGATCATTCTGACCATTTTAATGCCCATGATAAGCGCTTAGCTTCAATCAGAAGCTGAGATATCTTGTAATAAGTGTGTCAATCGCTACTCGCGAGAGTGTAAAAATATGTTTTAACCTAATAATTCAACAACCTGAAGTCTGAAGACTTTGAAACCACGCTCTACCCCACTCAATGTGATGATTCTGACCATTTCAATGCCCAAGATGAACGCTTAGCTCCAATCAGAAGCTGAGATATCTTGAAATAAGTGTAATAATTGTTACTGCGAGACTGTTATATAGTAAAATCGGACTTTTGGCGATTTCTCAAAAACTAAGTCTCTTAGGCCTTAAGTATCTTCATAGCACTAACATAAACATGCATCTTAGGCACATTTTGGTATATGTCTAAGGTCTGTATCTCAATCAGAAGCTGAGATAATCTATAGTGGGGGTCGCAAAACTGGTGAAAAAGTGTACCCGAGTAATTAGTGTTATTTAGGACCATATAAGTCGGATTACATCGAGAAACCGAGCGGACGTCCCAATGTGAGCAGGACTTTTGCCTGGTCCAGGATTATAAAAGGAAGTTAAGCCGTTTGTGAACACACAGTAGAACTAGATTATGAAAGTTAAATGGAAATATATAAATATTCAAAGTATCTGTGCTGTGACAGCTCTGTGACAGTGTTGTGACAACACTGTGACAACACAACAAACTTCCCCATTCCTCAGTCCAAGAAGTGTCAGACAACATAATCTTAGCATTGAACAGACTAGAGGAGACAGACATTAGGGGAGTAATACTAACGTTTGTTCACCGCATCATGGCGGATTCCTTGTTTGGAATTGACACTTCAGATTATGAAACTGATTTGAAGCCCCCTCTGAATGCTTTCTTCTCACAGGTAAGGGAGAGTAAGGGGTAAGGAGTAAGGAGTAAGGAGTAAGGAGTAAGGAGTAAGGAGTAAGGAGTAAGGAGTAAGGAGTAAGGAGTAAGGAGTAAGGAGTAAGGAGTAAGGAGTAAGGGGTATAAGGAGTAAGGAGTAAGGAGTAAGGAGTAAGGAGTAAGTGGTATAAGGAGTAAGGAGTAAGGAGTAAGGAGTAAGGAGTAAGGAGTTAGGAGTAAGGAGTAAGGAGTAAGGAGTAAGGAGTAAGGAGTAATGAGTAAGGAGTAAGGAGTAAGGAGTAAGGAGTAAGGAGTAAGGAGTAAGGAGTACGGAGTAAGGAGTAAGGAGTAAGGAGTAAGGAGTAAGGAGTAAGGAGTAAGGAGTAAGTGGTATAAGGAGTAAGGAGTAAGGAGTAAGGAGTAAGGAGTAAGGAGTAAGGAGTTAGGAGTAAGGAGTAAGGAGTAAGGAGTAAGGAGTAAGGAGTAATGAGTAAGGAGTAAGGAGTAAGGAGTAAGGAGTAAGGAGTAAGGAGTAAGGAGTAAGGAGTAAGGAGTAAGGAGTAAGGAGTAAGAAGTAAGGAGTAAGGAGTAAGAAGTAAGGAGTAAGGAGTAAGGAGTAACGAGTAAGGATTAAGGAGTAAGGAGTAAGGAGTAAGGAGTAAGGAGAAAGGAGTAAGGAGTAAGGAGTAAGGAGTAAGGAGTAAGAAGTAAGGAGTAAGGAGTAAGAAGTAAGGAGTAAGGAGTAAGGAGTAAGGAGTAAGGATTAAGGAGTAAGGAGTAAGGAGTAAGGAGTAAGGAGAAAGGAGTAAGGAGTAAGGAGTAAGGAGTAAGGAGTAAGGAGTAAGGAGTAAGGAGTAAGGAGTAAGGAGTAAGGAGTAAGGAGTAAGGAGTAAGGAGTAAGGAGTAAGGAGTAAGGAGTAAGGAGTAAGGAGTAAGGAGTAAGGAGTAAGGAGTAAGGAGTAAGGAGTAAGGAGTAAGCAGTTAGGACTAAGAAGTAAGGAGTAAGGAGTAAGGAGTAAGGAGTAAGGAGTAAGGAGTAAGGAGTAAGGAAAATTAATGATTCATCTGATCGAAAATTTTTGGCATCCTAGAAAGCTAGCATTAGTTTAAAATCCCCGAAACACGATTCAAACTATTGCAGTTGGAAATGGCAGGAAAAATTAAAATGAAGAGCAGACGCAGAACGAGTGGTTTCATGAATTGGTTTTCATATAAAAACGTTGAAGAGTTCGAAATAAACGAAGATGCTTCGTATGAAGATATGGATCCTGATAAAGAAACCATTGAAATAAGAAGGTCATTGATTATAGTGTTATGTCACGTTATGCCCAAATAAGGAGATATGTGCGTTATTTTCTACTTGTACTTCTCTTCCTTCTAGATATGTCCCTTAAGTATAATACTGAGACGTTTGAGGAGTGGAGGAGGATAGCTGCTTGAAAAGAACTAGCAGAATTAACACGACTCTGATTTCAGATTGATATATGAGCATGTACAGATAACAAAACAGTTGCTAAGAAGGAAGAGCTGGGCTGAAAAACAAGACACGGACCTTGTTGCTGCAATACTCACGCAAGATGGTATGTTGACAATTTAATTATTTACATACAAAAATAATTTTGAAGTTACTTACGATTTTACAACGTTCAATATAATTGTATGGATACGAATAATGATAGAAATATAATAAATGGTTCATTGACATTTGAGTGTTGGTGATATCCAATGCAACCTGTACTTGATTTGAGTGTTGGTGATATCGAGTGCAACCTGTACTTGATTTGAGTGTTGGTGATATCCAGTGCAACCTGTACTTGATTTGAGTGTTGGTGATATCCAGTGCAACCTGTACTTGATTTGAGTGTTGGTGATATACAGTGCAACCTGTACTTGATTTAAGTGTTGGTGATATCCAGTGCAACCTGTACTTGATTTAAGTGTTGGTGATATCCAGTGCAACCTGTACTTGATTTGAGTGTTGGTGATATCCAGTGCAACCTGTACTTGATTTGAGTGTTGGTGATATACAGTGCAACCTGTACTTGATTTGAGTGTTCATGATATCCAATGCAACCTGTACTTGATTTGAGTGTTGGTGATATCCAGTGCAACCTGTACTTGATTTTAGTGTTGGTGATATCCAGTGCAACCTGTACTTGATTTGAGTGTTGGTGATATCCAGTGCGACCTGTACTTGATTTGAGTGTTGGTGATATCCAGTGCAACCTGTACTTGATTTGAGTGTTAATGATATCCAGTGCAACCTGTACTTGATTTGAGTGTTGGTGATATCCAGTGCAACGTGTACTTGATTGAAGTGTTGGTGATATCGAGTGCAACCTGTACTTGATTTGAGTGTTGGTGATATCGAGTGTAACCTGTACTTGATTTGAGTGTTGGTGATATCGAGTGTAACCTGTACTTGATTTGAGTGTTGGTGATATCCAGTGCAACCTGTACTTGATTTGAGTGTTGGTGATATCGAGTGTAACCTGTACTTGATTTGAGTGTTGGTGATATCGAGTGTAACCTGTACTTGATTTGAGTGTTGGTGATATCGAGTGTAACCTGTACTTGATTTGAGTGTTGGTGATATCGAGTGCAACCTGTACTTGATTTGAGTGTTGGTGATATCGAGTGTAACCTGTACTTGATTTGAGTGTTGGTGATATCGAGTGTAACCTGTACTTGATTTGAGTGTTGGTGATATCGAGTGTAACCTGTACTTGATTTGAGTGTTGGTGATATCCAGTGCAACCTGTACTTGATTTGAGTGTTGGTGATATCGAGTGTAACCTGTACTTGATTTGAGTGTTGGTGATATCCAGTGCAACCTGTACTTGATTTGAGTGTTAATGATATCCAGTGCAACCTGTACTTGATTTGAGTGTTGGTGATATCCAGTGCAACGTGTACTTGATTGAAGTGTTGGTGATATCGAGTGCAACCTGTACTTGATTTGAGTGTTGGTGATATCGAGTGTAACCTGTACTTGATTTGAGTGTTGGTGATATCGAGTGTAACCTGTACTTGATTTGAGTGTTGGTGATATCCAGTGCAACCTGTACTTGATTTGAGTGTTGGTGATATCGAGTGTAACCTGTACTTGATTTGAGTGTTGGTGATATCCAGTGCAACCTGTACTTGATTTGAGTGTTGGTGATATCCAGTGCAACGTGTACTTGATTGAAGTGTTGGTGATATCGAGTGCAACCTGTACTTGATTTGAGTGTTGGTGATATCGAGTGTAACCTGTACTTGATTTGAGTGTTGGTGATATCGAGTGTAACCTGTACTTGATTTGAGTGTTGGTGATATCCAGTGCAACCTGTACTTGATTTGAGTGTTGGTGATATCGAGTGTAACCTGTACTTGATTTGAGTGTTGGTGATATCCAGTGCAACCTGTACTTGATTTGAGTGTTGGTGATATCCAGTGCAACCTGTACTTGATTTGAGTGTTGGTGATATCCAGTGCAACCTGTACTTGATTTGAGTGTTGGTGATATCCAGTGCAACCTGTACTTGATTTTAGTGTTGGTGATATCGAGTGCAACCTGTACTTGATTTGAGTGTTGTTGATATCAAGTGCAACCTGTACTTGATTTGAGTGTTTGTGATATCGAGTGCAACTTGTACTTGATTTGAGTGTTGGTGATATCCAATGCAACCTGTACTTGATTTGAGTGTTGGTGATATCGAGTGCAACCTGTACTTGATTTGAGTGTTGGTGATATCGAGTGTAACCTGTACTTGATTTGAGTGTTGGTGATATCGAGTGTAACCTGTACTTGATTTGAGTGTTGGTGATATCGAGTGTAACCTGTACTTGATTTGAGTGTTGGTGATATCCAGTGCAACCTGTACTTGATTTGAGTGTTGGTGATATCGAGTGTAACCTGTACTTGATTTGAGTGTTGGTGATATCCAGTGCAACCTGTACTTGATTTGAGTGTTAATGATATCCAGTGCAACCTGTACTTGATTTGAGTGTTGGTGATATCCAGTGCAACGTGTACTTGATTGAAGTGTTGGTGATATCGAGTGCAACCTGTACTTGATTTGAGTGTTGGTGATATCGAGTGTAACCTGTACTTGATTTGAGTGTTGGTGATATCGAGTGTAACCTGTACTTGATTTGAGTGTTGGTGATATCCAGTGCAACCTGTACTTGATTTGAGTGTTGGTGATATCGAGTGTAACCTGTACTTGATTTGAGTGTTGGTGATATCCAGTGCAACCTGTACTTGATTTGAGTGTTGGTGATATCCAGTGCAACGTGTACTTGATTGAAGTGTTGGTGATATCGAGTGCAACCTGTACTTGATTTGAGTGTTGGTGATATCGAGTGTAACCTGTACTTGATTTGAGTGTTGGTGATATCGAGTGTAACCTGTACTTGATTTGAGTGTTGGTGATATCCAGTGCAACCTGTACTTGATTTGAGTGTTGGTGATATCGAGTGTAACCTGTACTTGATTTGAGTGTTGGTGATATCCAGTGCAACCTGTACTTGATTTGAGTGTTGGTGATATCCAGTGCAACCTGTACTTGATTTGAGTGTTGGTGATATCCAGTGCAACCTGTACTTGATTTGAGTGTTGGTGATATCCAGTGCAACCTGTACTTGATTTTAGTGTTGGTGATATCGAGTGCAACCTGTACTTGATTTGAGTGTTGTTGATATCAAGTGCAACCTGTACTTGATTTGAGTGTTTGTGATATCGAGTGCAACTTGTACTTGATTTGAGTGTTGGTGATATCCAATGCAACCTGTACTTGATTTGAGTGTTGGTGATATCGAGTGCAACCTGTACTTGATATGAGTGTTGGTGATATGCAGTGCAACCTGTACTTGATTTGAGTGTTGGTGATATCCAGTGTAACCTGTACTTGATTTGAGTGTTGGTGATATCCAGTGCAACCTGTACTTCATTTGAGTGTTGGTGACATTGAGTGCAACCTGTACTTGATTTGAGTGTTGGTGATATCGAGTGCAACCTGTACTTGATTTGAGTGTTGGTGATATCCAGTGCAACATGTACTTGATTTGAGTGTTGGTGATATCCAGTGCAACCTGTACTTTATTTGAGTGTTGGTGATATCCAATGTAACCTGTACTTGATTTGAGTGTTGGTGATATCCAGTGCTACCTGTACTTGATTTGAGTGTTGGTGATATCCAATGCAACCTGTACTTGATTTGAGTGTTGGTGATATCCAGTGCAACCTGTACTTGATTTGAGTGTTTGTGATATCCAGTGCAACCTGTACTTGATTTGCAAACATATCAATAATAGCTTCTCCCACGCATAAACTGGGCACGATATAACACTGCACCGCACTCCCTGTCTAGACAGCAATAATGCTTTATAATTGCTGTATAATTGCTGTATAATTGCGTGAGAGATATCCAGAAGATTCTTTATTGTTAAATGTATAACCCGGATGGCTAATGTTTTCACAATAAAGAGACTGAGATCAGATTCTTCCGGAAACGAATATCCTTATGGCTTTAATTCCTTTCTGAGCTTGTCATTAAAAGCAATCTTTCCGTTTCAAGTTAAAAGATTACTATCTCAGAGTGCAAGGTGGACGATGAGCTGATAGTTAACGATATAATTTCACTGTTTCTAATCGGAAGAGAACTTCTTACTACTCACATTATCCAGACACTCTTCAGCATCCTCTCTGGTATGTAATTGTATTGTAAAATCCCGATTGACCGCGGATTATTTCAAGGGGAAAGGAAACTGCTGCGGTAAATCGGGGTTTACTGTATTATTGAAGAAGTAGCTTAGGGCAAATAAAATCCCATCACAATGAATGGAACCATAAGTGAGCCACAAACAGAATTGATATGATTGGATTTGACTTTGAAGCAGTCTTTATCAATTATCAGTTACCATACAGTGTACAGTGTACACACATTAATTTTGACAGTTTAGAGAACTCCACAGAGTTCAGTAAACAGTTAGCTGAATTATTTGAATGTTATTGTAATGAAAACTCCAACAAATTTTCCACCCTCTCCACTCCACCCTTGCACGTCACACACCACTCATCATTAACACCACTACAATATATAATTATATAATCACCCCTTCACAACATCATCCCCAGAGTCCAGACCCCAGCTGAAGACCATTTGCACATCTATTTTGAAAGCTCCTGCTAAAACAAACTTTTCGTATCACTTATATGTCTTAAATAATCTTCCTCCAGGTTAGCTAAACAGTATAGCTTATACTTTATGATCCTGCTGTTTCAGCCAACTATTTACTAGACTCGTATCGAGTATACACTATAATTAAATCCTATTCAGACCGCGAAGTTTACATACGAGTGATATCAGAAATGGACCTACTATTTGGAGAAAACGCTGATCCCCCTTACTCAATTATCAGTAAGCTCAAGTACCTAGATTTGTGCATTCTCGAGAGCTTGAGGCTGAACCCTCCACAACCCACAGTACGATCTGTTCCTAAAACCAGAAAGAATATCTACCTGGGCAAGTAAGTTGGAACTTTACTAGCTGTTAAAAATCTATTTTGTGTGTGATAAATTGCTTTTGTTATTTAAGTGCGCATCAAAGGAAGGAGCCAGTCACTTTCACTAAAAGATAAGGGATGATCCAAAGATTAAAAATCGAACCAAAATTCCCTGCTCTCCTCAGGTACCTGATGAAGAAAACAAGCCGCCACCAAAGCACTGACTTTATCCTCTCAATCTACAACATTCATCGTGATCCTGATCACTGGGGCCCTGACCCCCACTCTTTCAATCCTGATCGTTTCCTCGGCAGAAACATGACTCGTCTCAGACCTTGCACGTTCTTTCCGTTTTCATTTGGCAGTAGAGCATGCATAGGAAAAGATTTTTCGCTCATGGCGACAAAGGTATTTTTGGTAAAATTGCTGAGGATGTTTGATGTGGGTTTATTATCAGGCGGGCCACCTAAATACACTGATCATTTAAGCTTGAGGATAAGTTCGGCTATCAATTGTAGTCTTTCTAAAACCAAAATAAATTTCAAACGTTTTGGAGAATAGGGTGGCAATTTAGAATGAACATGTTCGCTGTCAGTCTTAAGAGATTTAATTCAAGTCGCTTGAATTTGTATGCAATACACTGTGAATGTTACGTCATTCTTATTGTTTATTGTCTAATAATCAACACTTTGATTATATAATTTGATTATATATATTTCCAATTTGATTATATTCTTGGCTGTGAATTTTAAACTAAGTCTGTCTGACTGTCTGTGGACTGTGACCCAAATTGTTAAGTTTGTTTTTAAACCTATTTCATTTGGTATTTGTTCTTTGCCTAAACCCAAAAGCGGATAGAAGTTGTACCGATTTTGGCAGCTTCTTTTCTAGAAGCTTCTTTTGTCTTGTCTAATTTAAATGTTAATTTTCAGTATTGTTTTCTGAGAACAAAGATTTACATTAAAATTGTATTTAATAAAGCTACTGGCTGGCTAGCCCACATAGAGAAAAGTTTAATCGCTTTCAGACAAAATACTGTGATTGAAAATGGACTAATGAACCTGAGGATAAATCGAATTAAATTAAACTTGGAGATACGGTGAAATCTATGTAACTGAACAAAAAGGAATAAATTAGTGAACAAAACAGAGTTGGAACGACAAAATTCCAGTCGATTAGATGTTTGGTTTTTATTGCTCACTGCAGCCTATGAATTCGTCTGTACAGGATCTCACGCACAGTTGCTTATCTTGCTTATTTTTGGATATTATTAATTATCAAAGCTCTCCCATTCCGAATCCTTGTAGCTCTCGTTAATTAATAAAACAAAAGTTAAAACAAAAGTTAAATTTATTACCAATTATTCAATCAATACATATCATAAATTCTAATATTGGAAACACAATGCAGAATGGATGTCTTAAACTATAATTTGTTGTCACTAATAATCTATTTACTTTCAAAGTTGAAATTTAGTTAAGTATGAAATGCCACCACATCATAGTTAGGGTAAAATATAATTCTTAAAAATTTTAAAATTAAGAAGATTGCTCTATGACTTAAAATTTAAAATTTAGCTAAAGATGTCTAATTTTTAAGTAGTTGGTTACAGTTTATGACAGTACTGGCATGACCAATTTTATTGTGGCTGGTAAAAGGACCCAGTTGCCTGTAAGGGCTTTACCGAACCCCTGGGGACCACAATGTGATAGGATCAGGCCAGATGTTTCTATGTAGAGCAATTTATTTATTTCGGAGCTATGGTTACGTGGTATAGTTGGTGGTCATGTTTAAAGGTCAGTTTATCCTTGTGTTCTAATTATCCATCCAGATGCTTAGTGATGTGAGTAAATCATGCCCTTCTACATTATATAACGTTTAACTATAAATTTGTTTTTACCACAGAAACTGTGGCACTAAGGTCAAGAATTAAAAATTTGTACTCTCATTGATAGTTAAAGCGTTTTTTTTTCCCCAGCACTACTACACAACAAAAACCTGTCGGCCCACCGAGGAAACACAGTCGCAGAACAAAGAACCCAATTGTGCTTCTCTATTCTGCGATCGTGTGTATTTACTATAAACTAGCTAAATGCAGTTAGTAAAATTTTCTGGAATCATTCAAGTCGTTTGATTAGTTTATGTGTCAAAGTAATGTCCATGATAATCATATTTTTGGATCCCCGGTGGGCAAACACTCGTCCCAAAGGCTAAGGCAAACCTGTCAATGTTTCCCCATACGAAGTAAGGAGAACACATACTCAGCCTACAACTCCACCCATGGGACGAGACGTCGTGAGCCTCAAAATATATAGCATATACCCAGTCAGCAAACACTATACACAACATACATACGATACCAATCAATGTATAATGCCATTACTTCATTTAAAAGAAAATACATCTGCTATCTAATTTTTTTAAAAATTGAAGAATAAACCTGAAGAGAGGAGAAGGAGAGAGGGGTTTGGGAGAGGTAGAGTAGGAAAACAACAGGATCCTGTGCCGCAGGATTTTAAAATTTGTTGTATGATGATTCGTTTTGTGTCGTCTCTTAGATTAATATAGGTCTGATACCCTTGTCATGGTTCTTTGCAATAACACCGTGGTTTACTCATGTGATTATGTTTACTAAATCAACCTATTTCAATGATAATTCATTTGCATCAAAGTTGTAACTGCACCAAAGTTGTCGGTCATATTTAGACTGTTGTTCTAACAAAGATTTCTTGAGATTATTCTTGAATATACTGATGGGAGTGGAGAAGTCTATTTCACTTGTTGACTTACGGCAGTGATTCCAAATACTAGTTGATTGATAGATGAATAGTGAGGATGGAGTGGGTGGGATGAAGTAGTTGTCTCGTCTTGGTGACCTGTTGAATAAAGAGAACATTGAGATTGGTGATTGGAACTTATTAATTTTGAACATTTCCAGTAAACAGTGCAACTTATGAAGATTGTGGACAGTCAGGAAGTTATACTCGTTACAGATTGGTTTACTGTGTTCTAGTTCAAAGAAATCTTTGCCTAACATCTGCTTGATAACTTTACCGGTCTTATCCCTAGTGATAGGCCTTACTCTGGCACATGTTTTGAACTTATTGAAGTATGCATCATTATCACCAAAGAGAATTCTTATGCATTTCTTTTGTGTTTTAAATATGGCTTCTAGTTTATTATTTGATACACCTCCCCAAACAGATATTCCATAACATAGGTGTGATTCAAAAAGGGTGTGGTACAGGTCCTTATATAGTTTTTTAGGTACACAGCGTCTAATTCCACATAGTCTACCTATCTCACATTTCAATTTACGGTTTAACGCTCTTAAGTGAGCATCCCCGTTCAGTTTTTGGTCAATAATGACTCCAAGAAACTTAGTTTCCTCCAAAATTTTTAATTACTATATTATTTAGTGTCAGTTCTAATTCATTGGTGTTTGAATCTGGTTCATTTCTACAGTTCGGCTTAAAGTGGATATAGCAACATTTCTTTATGTTGATATGCAGCAAGTTACTCTTCATATACTGATGAACAAGTTTAAGAATTTTATTAGCTTTGCAGTAAAGTGTTTTTATACATTTATCTACAACAAATATGTTGGTGTCATCGGCAAAAAGTATAAACTTACCTAGGTCTGATACTCTATATATTTCATTGATGTAAATAATGAAAAGCAAGGGACCTAATACTGACCCCTGAGGAACACCAAATATTACAGACAGTTTTTCGGATTCTTCTCCAAGTACTGAAACATATTGCTGTCTATTAGAAAGGTAACTGGCTATCAATTTATTTGCAGTCCCTCGAATTCCATAATCATTCAGTTTTTTAAGCAGGGCGCGACTGTCGTATCTGATTCAGCAGTATTTTAGTTGGTTTTGATTCGTCATCTTCCCATGGTAGCTTAAGCCTAAATTTAAATAGAGGCCTGGCAGCCGTTCATCGTGTGTATCTATCATCTCTGCATCACGCGAGCTGTCCACGTACCACTGCATTCCTGCAGTGGTACTCAAATCTCCTTCAATCTCCTTCAATAGCTCCTTCAATCTCCTTCAATCTCCTTCAATCTCTTTCAATTTCCTATAATCTCCTTCAATATCCTTCATTAATCTCCTTCAATCTCCTTAAATCGCGCAAAAGCGTATATTTATTTATTTAGTGATTTTGACACCACATTAGATTTTCGGGACCTACATTTTTCATTCCTTGGCCAGTTTTGTATTTCTTCATACTGGTCAAAAACATTCGAACCAACCAAAAATGATTGTATGGTATATCTCTATCACGGTCTTCGCGGAAAGTTGATGTCGTGGTGTAAATAAAATAGTAACAGATATATAGATATATATAGAATAACCTCGCAGTACGTTTTATAAAACAGATTAGGTCTTTGTCTTCGTCTAATGCATTTGCCTTTGTCTAATGTTTGAAGAATAATACTCTTTGTTATCTACAATTGTCTATAACAGCTACAGCAAGACGTACCTACATAGATTACTAGATTAGGTCGAGTGAGTTTCATTTCACCTGCGTTGTATAATTTACGTGACTTACATTAGTTAGTTTGGGTTTAAATTATTCATTGTGACGTATAGTCCCGTAGACCTATAAACCTACTTTATGGCCACTTGAACGAACACTGATGGGACATTAAGACAACATTAAGACAACAATAAGACAACAATAAGACAACATTAAGACAACAATAAGACAATATTAAGACAACGTTAACGCAACAAACACCAAAAGACAACAAACGATAGGACAACATTAAGACAACATTAAGGCAACATTAAGGCAACATTAAGGCAACATTAAAGCAACAAATTCCTTGTATTAATGTTGTCTTAAATGAGTTTGTTGTCTTAATGTTGTCTTAATGTTGTCTTAAATGAGTTTGTTGTCTTAATGTTGTCTTAATATTTTATCATATTTTGTTGTCTTATCGGTGTTTGTTGTCGTAATGTTGTCTTATTGTTGTCTTATTGATGTCTTAAATGATTTTGTTGTCTTAATGAGTTTGTTGTCTTAACGTTGTCTTAATGGTGTCTTAACGTTGTCTTAATATTTTATCATATTTTGTTGTCTTATCGGTGTTTGTTGTCTTAATGTTGTCTTATTGTTGTCTTATTGTTGTCTCATTGTTGTCTTATTGTTGCCTTAATGTTGTCTTATTGTTGCCTTAATGTTTGCTTTAATGTTGCCTTAATGTTGCCTTAATGTTGTCTTATCGTTTGTTGTCTTATTGGTGTTTGTTGCGTTAACGTTGTCTTAATGTTGTCTTATTGTTGTCTTAATGTTGTCTTATTGTTGTCTTATTGTTGTCTTAATGTTGTCTTAATGTCCCATCGGTGTTCGTTCTAGTTATCGCGCAAAAGCGTATATTTATTTATTTAGTGATTTTGACACCACATTAGATTTACGGGACCTACATTTTTCATTCCTTGGCCAGTTTTGTATTTCTTCATACTGATCAAAAACATTCGAACCAACCAAAAATGATTGTATGGTATATCTCTATCACGGTCTTCGCGGAAAGTTGATGTCGTGGTGTAAATAAAATAGTAACAGATATATAGATATATCTATATTAATATAGATATCAGGACCATTGTTGACTATAACTCTATTTTATTGTATCACCATACCACGTGTAGTAGAATAACCTCGCAGTACGTTTTATAAAACAAATTAGGCCTTTGTCTTCGTCTAATGCATTTGCCTTTGTCTAATGTTTGAAGAATAATACTCTTTGTTATCTACAATTGTCTATAACAGCTACAGCAAGACGTACCTACATAGATTAGGTCGAGTGAGTTTCATTTCACCTACGTTCATTTCACCTACGTTGTATAATTTACGTGTCTTACATTAGTTAGTTTGGGTTTAAATTGTTCATTGTGACGTATAGTCACGTAGACTTATAGACGCTAGACGTATAGCCTAGTAGTCTAGGCAGAGTTTAGTTTAGGTCGAGAGAGCTTTATTTTATATTGCATTTGGACAGTTCAGTTTCTGAGTCTGCTGGGCGCTTTTCAGGGTGACTGCCTATCTGGGTGTCTGTTTACACTTGTAATTGCAGGTGCACTCTTTGAACTCCGAACCATCCTCGCTACTATAATGGGCAGGCCAGTTCATATCCGCCCATCACTAGTCGAGGCCTTCCCCTTGACACTGAGTATGCAGATGATGTCGACTTGAATGATGAAGATGAAGAAAACCTGAAGCACATCTTGCCTGTGGCAACAGATGTGCTGAAGCGTTGGAATTTCTTTGTCAATGAAGATAAATCTGACTTCACTCATGTGTACTCAGCGCATTCAGGGGAAAGGACGCAACTGGAAAGCCTATTGCTGGTAGTGAGGAGTGGAGGAAAAGCATCACACTGGGCTCCATGACGTTGAAACAGTTTGCCCATACCCTAACCCGGCGCCTTATACTTATTGGCGTTTTGACAAAGAAATTTAGACGCCTATCATTTAAGTCAAGGTCATTAGGACGCTTTGTAACACCACTGAACTGTCGGCCGGGGATTATGTTCGGTATTCACAAAATATTCTCAAAAAATAATAATATAGTACATCAGAAAAGATAAAGGCAAGAGCTCAAACTGCAGATTCACACAAGGACTCAAGGACTTAGTCAGCTGACAGTGCCACTAGGCACAATGTTGCAGCTACTGTTGTTGATTATGTTCCTTAATGAGGCGGTCAGCTCTCAAGGTTTGTGAATTGTGTACAATTAAATTCTCTGTCTTGTCTATGGACATACGTTATTGGAAAATGTAGATTTCTCTTTTTCTCTACCTTGTGACAAAATTTAATCTCTACAGTACAGCTTAAAGAGCAAGTTTCTGGATCACGCCGTTTATTTTGAATTCTCTTTGCTGTATTGCATCATCTATATGTACTATTTGTAAAAGTTTCAAATCAAAAATCAAGTTTGACATGGATTTATTATTTATGTTTCAGCTGTTAAGCCCACTGATTTCGTGGAACCTACCGAAAATATGGAAACTATAACGGAAGTTATCGCTGCAACAAATGATGTTGAAACAACTAGAAATGACTTAACTGTTATACCAACCACTGCTGAACCAACCACTGCTGAACCAACCACTGCTGAACCAACCACTGCTGAACCAACCACTGTTGAACCAACCACTGTTGAACCAACCACTGTTGAACCAACCACTGTTGAACCAACCACTGTTGAACCAACCACTGTTGAACCAACCACTGTTGAACCAACCACTGTTGAACCAACCACTGTTGAACCAACTACTGATGAACCAACCACTGTTGAACCAACCACTGCTGAACCAACCACTGCTGAACCAACCACTGTTGAACCAACCACTGTTGAACCAAACACTGTTGAACCAACCACTGTTCAATCAACCACTGTTGAACCAACTAGAAATGAATCTACTCTTGAAGGAACAGAGATTGACCCCACTGTTGAACCAACTACTATTGAACCAACCACTATTGAACCAACTGCTGATGAACCAACTGCTGTAATTGAACCAACCACTGCTGAACCAACCAATGTTGAACCAACCAATGTTGAACCGACTACTGATGAATCAACTACTGTTGAACCAACTGAAAATTACTCCACTGAAGCTGAAATTTCATTCCGAATCGTTGATGAAAATAAAAATGACGTCACGAAGGGAGTACAAGGTTTACTGCTCTACAACGGTGGGACAGTTTGTGACGACGATTTCAGCATGGATGCAGCATTTGCGATCTGCAAAGAAATGGGATATGTGAGTGCAATCAACTGGGACAGTGGAAACTATTTTGATGTTCAGGAAGACTTAGTGATAAAACTAGATGATGTAGCTTGCAGTGAACAAAGTTGGTCCTCTTGTTCTTACAGCGAGTCTAACAACTGTGGACATAGCGAAGATGTGTTTCTCACATGTATAACAGGTAACTTTACTATTCATTCAATTTCTAATTTTTAAATACATAGCATACAATTAATTTGTGACTGCACTCAAAACTATCATAATCCAATGAAACTTGAAAGGTACAACGTACGTCCGTACCCTTGCTAAACCCATATTAACTAAGCAGGACTACATGTGTTACTTTACAAGCTCATAAACAAGTTAATCTAAATCTCTCGAGACCATTGGACGTTTTGTATGTCCATTGCATCGAAGTAGAACTGAAAATGTTGTATTCAATTCAGATGTTGAACCAACTAGAAATGAATCCACTGATGAACCAACTAGAAATGACTCCACTGTTGAACCAACTGAAAATGACTCCACTGAAGCTGATATTTCATTTCGAATCGTTGATGAAGATAGCAATGACCTCACGGAGGGAGGACGAGGTTTGTTGCTCTACAAGGGCGGGACAGTTTGTGACGACGATTTCAACACGGAAGCAGCATTTGCGATCTGCAAAGAAATGGGATATGTTAGTGCAATCAACTGGGAGAGTGGAAACTATTTTAGTTTTCAAGAAGACCTAGAAATAAAACTAGATGATGTCGCTTGCAGTGAACAAAGTTGGTCCTCTTGTTCTTACAGTGAATCTCACAACTGTGGCCATAGCGAAGATGTGTTTCTCACATGTATAACAGGTAACTTTACTATTCATTCAATTTCTAATTTTTTTCCCTACTCTTGCCGAAGGCAAAAAGATCGTAGGGAATAAGTAATCGGGTTTGGATATATGAGGTGGCCCGATGGTCCTACGTTGACGACAAAAGTCTGCTCCTTCGCAATATAGACCACTCCTCTATAATTATGTGTATAAAAGGAACCTATTTTGCGCGCGCGACGCCAGTTATGTGTTAATTAATTACAGGCATAGCAACCAGTTTTAGGTGCTTGACGACTGTTACACAGGTTGCCATCGGGTTAAAATTTACTCTAATTCATTAATATAGCATATTAGTCATCTGAGCGGATCAATCATCAATATAAGTATAAATATTTTGTTGAAACAAGCTTAATAAATTACCGAGTGATAAAATTCAGCAAGTCAAAACAAATTAAATTATTATATCAGCTGATAAACTCGTGGCCGATTATTTAACAGTTGATCGACACTGAATCGTAAAAAGCGATTACATATTTAAGAACAAATGCTACTTTACATTTACATTCAAGAAGCAACTAAGATCAAGATTGCGGTATGCTTTTAAAGAATCCTATATAGTATATAGTCGATGGTGCTTTAGATGTGTCGAGTAAGCATCAAAATGTATTAGTTTATGTTAGATACAAATAATAACTAAGATGAGACAAAATATTTTATTACAGTCAATAAAGTTGGCATACGATGTAATAATATGACGTGACATAATACGCAACGTTAACACGAAACAAACCGCGCAAAATATGAAATGATCTACTACCAAACCACATACAGATCGACGGCGACACCTCAGATGCGCGCAGAATTTTACAAGTTCTGCACGCCTAATATAATGAAAATGATTATCACGTGCGCAAAACACCACTCTGGGATACAATAAAGTAGAACATTGTAGGCAGTAGGGAAATTTGATCGTGCGTGGTGTTACCGCGGCGAAATTCTTGTTAAATACATAGCATACAATTAATTTGTGACTGCACTCAAAACTATCATAATCCGATGCAAAACTTGAAAGGTACAATTGTACGTCCGTACCCTTGCTAAACCCATATTAACTAAGCAGGACTACAAGTATTACTTTACAAGCTTATTAAACAAGTTAATCTAAATCTCTCGAGAACATTGGACGTTTTGTATGTCCATTGCATCGAAGTAGAACTGAAAATGTTGTATTCAATTCAGATGATGAACCAACTAGAAATGGATCCACTGATGAACCAACTAGAAATGACTCCACTGTTGAACCAACTGAAAATGACTCCACTGAAGCTGATATTTCATTCCGAATCGTTGATGAAGATAGCAATGACCTCACGGAGGAAGGACGAGGTTTGTTGCTCTACAAGGACGGGACAGTTTGTGACGACGATTTCAACACGGAAGCAGCATTTGCGATCTGCAAAGAAATGGGATATGTTAGTGCAATCAACTGGGAGAGTGGAAACTATTTTAGTTTTCAAGAAGACCTAGAAATAAAACTAGATAATGTAGCTTGCAGTGAACAAAGTTGGTCCTCTTGTTCTTACAGTGAATCTCACAACTGTGGCCATAGCGAAGATGTGTTTCTTACATGTACAGGTAACTTTTCCATGTATTGACAAAATTATAATACCACTTACCTTGCCATTATGATAGCTAATTGCAAATATATATTATATATATATACATATATATTATATCGGGGCACTGATGATTGGTATTGTTTTATACATATTATCATGAAACGGATCGTTTGCCCGCCAATTTGATTTGTTTCGATTGTTCGAATTATAATGCTCCTGCTTAACTGCAGTCGAGCACTCTCTTTGGGAAACCAAGGAACAACTATTTATTATATATATAATTATATAGCAAACACAAGATAATAGGAAATAAATCATAAAATCGAGTGGCAAAGTAGTCTCGACTCACCCATAGCTTCTCCATAAACGTCATGAGCTTTGTACACTAAATCGTTGAAATTACTTAAACACACTATATAACACTACTATATAAAATGTACCTTTACAGTCATCCTCAAATTATTTGTTATATATAACAAATAATTTGAGGATGACTGTAAAGGTACATCTTACCGACATTTGAAGTCAAGGCGTTGTTTTACTGACAGTTGTGGCTGACTGACAATTATATATATATATTTGAGCCATACTGATGAGTCCTAATAGGACGAAACACTGTGTATATGGATATATATATATAATTTTAATACTTTCAACACTACTATATAACAAATAATTTGAGAATTGATGTAAATAAACGATGCAAAGACTTTCGAAGATCTAATCACAACCGCTTTCTTTTATTGTGTAGAAGTCCAGCCATGAAATATATATATACTAGAAACCCGCTAGTCGAAAGCTTTGTTCGAGGAAATTTTAAAAATCAGTTATGTTTTAATTTCTCTTCATCATATAGCTCTGTTATACTGTAGACATAATGGAATTTATCTAACAATGGCGACAGCGTTGTTAGTATTCGGATTCCCAAAACGATACTTTTTACCGCATCAAAAAATACCAATCACAACCAAAGTTATGAATATAAGTCATAGCGTGAGCGTAAATGTGAGCTAGTTTTGAAATTATGACGTAGCATACAGCATAATATATAACAACGCGCGTTGTTAAGATGTTCTTGCTCGCGCACGTGCATTTTTATCGTTGCTACGCAACAGCGCAGTAAACCTTTGCTAAAATAACGCCATTATTCTAACGATTATTTAACCTCACTTCCGACGTTAATTATAAAAAATCTAAAGCCTAAATCAAAATTCTAAGAATGCTATAGCCTATTCCTATCCTTTTTCTACAACCCTGCTAAAAATGGCGAGGTTTCAACTCCATTTGCGAGCTGGGTTTGGCATCACCAGAGGGTCATTTTGAGGTCGATTTTCGGTGTTTTTTCTTCTATGTCCCCGTTGCCGGGGAAATTTCGTCAAGTTTAAATTATAGTATAGATATATATTTCGTTGCTGTACTCCTACACATTAAAAGTCGGTGTTGATTAGATCTTCGAAAGTCTTCGCATCATTTATTAAACATCGTCATATATATATACTAGAAAACCCGTGGTCACAGGGAGAAAGCTAATAGTATTTTTTGTTAGGAAGTTTAAATCGCGTCAAAAAATATTCAGCACAAATGAAGATACAGCCAATTAAAATGTTGCTCGTACTAGACTAAACACAGCGTAATATCAACAAAACCTATCGTTAAAAAAATCATTGCACGTGCACGTGCGTGTAATAACCCTCGTTACCATGGTTGCTATGCAACTTCCTATTTCTCGTCGGATTTGCACGTGGGCGGTCGTACATACAGACAACAAAAAGAATTTTCTGAATTGTAATAGAGATATATATATATTGTTAGTCAGCCACAACTGTCAGTAAAACAACGCCTTGACTTAAAATGTCGGTAAAATATACCTTTACAGTCATCCTGATATAAAGACAAGTTAGCAAATTTATTAAAAATATCAATCATTCAATCAATCAAATAAATTGAAATTAAAAATTTAGAAACTTACGTAACTCAGCAATTCAAATAACTGATGGGTGAAAATTCTAAATGAGTGGTAGAGGTGAGGAAATAAAATATGCAAGAAAAAAAATCATCTTTCTTCTCTAACACTCATCCCTCCAAAGCAAAGTATTTTAACGTTTTAAGCTGGTTTTACCAAAAGTTCTCCCTTTGTTTACATATACTTAGTCTATCCTGGGCGCATTGCTCAAAATTCACTACTATACGTCAACTTTCTCTATAATAGAAACATTAATGTCCTTACTTAAAGTACTGGTAAACAACTTAGTGGTGGTACGGTCAAGATTGTGCAAAATCTCATTATCTATAAAATGGCAGGACAGTTCGCAAGTCCTTCTTTGGGTTTTAATGTGAGATTTATGGTTCCTAAATCTAACCTTTAGAAAGTCTAAAGTGCATCCTATATAACTTAACTTACAATTAATATCATTAACTATGTATAGAAAATTTTTGGTATCACAGTCCAATCACAGTCCAATATATATATTGTCAACACCGACTTTTAATGTGTAGGAGTACAGCAACGAAATATATATATATACATATACATGTATATATATAGTAAGTTTTCAGTCTTTTAAGTAGACTTATCTAGGATGGTCTTTAGGATGTTCTTAGTAACTACTTTGGATTTGTGTAAAGTTTGATAATAATATATATATTTGATAATAATATATATATATATATGCTCGCCTAGTTTACTAAGCTTGAGCACTCTGGGAATGAATAGATCTACCACTTAGAAAAACAGCAATTTGTTGTTTTCTTGAAAGCTGAAAGGTGTACACTGTACATAATTACCCTTTATGAACACATGTTATATAATAGTCAGTGCTTTAATGTGACAATATTCTTTGGGGTTATGATGGATCGAGGGCTGTCAACTATAGCATGACGTATCACACAGTTTTTGTTGTATTAGAATTTTGAATTGATGCCATATATTAAAAGGACATACACCAAAACATTTTTTGCCAGGATTCGAGATTTGACTTCATATTATGAAAATATAAATAAAAACAATAAGATTTGATACACTGAAAATTTTTTTAGAGAGTACACACTAAAATACCGATAATTTAGTAATTTTAAAAGTTTGGCTGTTTTTTTGCTGACCATTATTTACAATCCGTACAAGAAGCCTTCCAAAGGATTAAATAATTGAACAATAAATGACGAAGTTACAGAGAGAAGCAAAATTGAAATTTTTGCCAACTGTTAAAGTTGTACATTTTACCAATAATCGACGTCATAAGATATCGCTTCAAAAATTCTTGTGAGTGTAGCCACGATGATCATATCCAAATTTTTGGAACATGATTTCTCTCAATTTTGAGTTTCACTTTCAAGGTATGAAATCTGACAAAGGTCTTAGTAAAATTCATATCTCAAATAGTATCAGTTTTTTCGAAATAATTTTTACAGAATCGTAATCAGCTTGACGAAACAAAACTTCTAGTTCCAAATTTATAATACTTAAAGACACAAAATTTGTAAACAAATTTGTACAACTTGTACAAAATTTATACAAGGGGGGAGGGACCCTTGTATTCGAACTAGAAAATTATTTATGACCATTTTTCTTCTAAAATCATCTATTTGTTACTAAAAGTTTCGTCTTATTATCGGTATTTTATTTTTAGTGACAGACTTTACCAAATGTTAAAAAATTTCCAAAAAAAATGTTTTTGAAAGTGCGTACTCTCAAAAAATTTGTTCAATGTATCAAATCTTATTGATTTTATCTATATTTTCATAATATGAACTCAAATCCTGAATCCCGGCAAAAAAGGATTTGGTGTATGTCCCCTTAAGCCTTAAGGTATATTAAAAGTTAAGCTTTTACTTTGTAGAAAACAAACTAAACAAATGAACCATTTTAAGCTGGATCTGTATTCAAACTGGTAGACGAAGATGGTAGCGAAGTAAGGGCGGGAGAACAAGGACTATTACTGTTCATGGAAGGAACAGTGTGCGATGATGGCTTTGATTTCAACGCTGCTAATGCGATCTGCAAAGAGATGGGATACGAAAGTTCTCAGAGCTGGAACAGTGGATTAGTATACGATAATATGCAGAACAGTCTTGACACAAACTTAGATGATGTCGACTGCCGTGAAGAAGTGTGGTCCTCTTGTAGTTACGTGACATCAGAGGAAAACTGTGGTCACGAAGAAGATGTTTTCATTACATGCATAGGTAAAATATCTTTATTTCCTAGTTTTAAGTTTACCAATAAATAATTATTACCTATTAAATTCGCGTTTTTGACACCACTTGGGGATCCAAATTTTGGGCTCTAAAACTCTTATTTCTTGGCCAATTTTTAATTATTTCATGCTGATTTGGATGCAATTAAAGCATTTGACCCAGTCAACAACGTTCCAGTTGAATATCTTTTACGGTTTTTGCGGAAAGTCTCGTTAAAGTTGATACCGTGGTGTCAGTAAAATGGTACGGAACCCTCCATATTATATATCGTCTCGCTTTATATATAGTAAGATATATACAAGAAAAACAACGATTCTGCAAACTTACAGTTTCATGCAAACGCAATCATCAGTGTCAGAATAACTTACTATTACTAAATCCATATATTGTCCTAACACGCTCCTTCATAAAATTAACTGAACTAAACTAAACTAAACTAAACTAAACTAAATCAAAATCAAAACAAAACGAAACGAAAAACAAAATAAAATATTCCTAATAGAAGCATTTCTTGATCATAAATTTGTTGGTGTGCCTACATTTGCTAATAAATTCTTTTCTCACATTTAATAGATTGTCGTCTTTATTTAAAATAATATAAAGTTTTTCAGTAAGGCAGAGATGACAATCTTTTGTACCCCCCCACCCCCCCCCCCCCACCCCCCCCCCCCTTGTACGGATGAGCATGTTGGATTATTTTCCAAAATATTTTATACGGGGTTTGTTTATCTTTCAACTCCCATATTTTCTTAAATAGCTCCGTCTGGTTTCGTAGCTTACTGAGTTTGAAAGAGCTTGTGTGTGTACTGAAGCGGGTCTTAAAAGTGTTTTCAGTTAGCCCAATATATTTGTGCTCTTTCTTTTCCTTTTCTACTGCAATCGTTGCTTCATATATCACTACGGGGCTTCCAGGCACTGTCCTTTTAGTAGGCACATTTCCGGCTTCCTGCAATTGCACATTTTCGCCTTTATTGTAGGTTTTTTCTGAGCTTGGTGTCTGGTGATCACTAAGATGGATCCTATGTTGGGTAGGCAGCTGTACGATAGCTTGATTTTGTTTCTGTTGAACAGCTCGTGGAATTTTGTCCTCTGGGGAAGTGTTTGTCTAGTAATGTTTGTTGTTACATTCGAGCAGTAAAGGGGGTTGAACCATACGACATTCCTGGATCTCTTCCTGTTGGCTCATGGCAAGGCTGGTATCTGTAAACTATAGTTGGTGGTCGTGGCCGCTATCGTTAAGAGCTGTTCCGTAAACCCCTTTCGCTTTGTCAAACTCTTCTTTATTGCAGGAGATGTCCGATAGTCGCCGGTTTATCATTTTGGGGAGATTGTTTATGATGGTTGGTGGGTGGTTTGCAAAAATTAATACAGACTTAAAGCAAAAAATGCCGAAATTTTGACATTTTTTTGAATTTTTACCCGGGGAAATCTTGGGTTCTCTTTGCTACAAAAAAACGCCCAAAACGGTATGAAAATTTGGAATTTTAATGGTTTTGAATCAGAATGCCTTCGAGTGTTCATTTTAATGTCCGTTAATAATTATGTCTGTTCAAAATTATGTCATGTCAAATAACGTCCGATAAGGTAAATTTTTTAACAGGAATGATGAACTCAAAGTCAATGGTATCCGGAACTGACGAAACAACAACAACAACACAAGAAAGTGACATGTTGGACAGTTTGACGCAACCAGGTATGTTTTGCTATCAACAAATTTACCCATGAAAGTTTCCGAAACTTTAAGTTTCGGTCGGCGCCTTTTGAAAATTTCCGGGATCAGTTTGATGGACTAACATTTTGTCCGGAGTTGGCTAATCTGGTCATTGGCGTTTCGCTGTATGAGTGTATGAAGTAATAAGCAAGCAAACAAATACCTTAAGCTTCTTTCAACACATGTGTGATGTGTAATTTGTATCAGCACGGGCTGTTATAAGTGTATATATAAAGATATAAAGATATAAGGAGTATAAACTACACCATGTGCGGTATGAAACCGCTATAAACCAATATCCTGAAAACCTGTATTGTTTTCAAATATAATCATTGTTTCCCTCAGAAATGTTATCTTCTCCTGCTGGTACCTCAATTGGATACTCTGGGGATAAAATGATCCTATTTTGTGAAGCCAGTTTCTTTCCAAATATTCCAATGACTATTGAATGGAAGGTGGCACGTGGTAACAGTTTTGCTGAAGCAGGTATGCGGAGTGATTCGGCTTTTAAAAATTAACATAGATAGTGAAACAAGTACGAATTACAAATATATATATACAAATTATCATTAACAAATTATCATTTTTGATCAATAAGAATCATTATTTTTCATACATAATATTTTGTTACCAAAACCCGAATAAGTGGACTGTCACCAGTGCCTTTTTTCTAAACAAAATTTAACATGATGTCAATTGAGTCCTACAAAAAAAATTAGTCCTATACCGAAAAAAAACAAACATTAAAAAATCATTTATTTTTGTTTGGCAAAAGGAGACATTGACGACGGTCCAGTTTTTGGTAAAACACTAATTAAACACCAGGCACTTGTTATGTTTTTGACTCCTACAATTTTTAACTGCGGCAGTGAAATCCCGGCCGAAGGCCGGGTTATACTAGTATTATATATATGTATATGATTGTACCTTAGGGCAAATAAATTTGGGTCACAATAAATTTGGTTACCATAATTTTGGTTACCATAATTTTAGTCACAAATTTCGCAAATTTTTTGTCTGCAACAATTTTAGTCACATTTTTCGACTTTTCGAGACCATTTTCCATTCCATTTACCTTAAGAACGGCAAAGTTAGTCTACACCGTCTGAGCATTACAGATTAAGCTGCAATGCATTACTCACGAATTTCAATAACATCGGATCCAGAGTTTGTGACTCTGTATCACTAAGTTCTTCAGTACACTGTTCAGTGTTCAGTTTCTTTTTCACCCTTTTTCGACTTGACCATTTCTGTCGGTACGACGTAGTTTATGTCGATATGATTCAATTAAATTGAATGGAAATCACCTAACATAAAGCATTTTCTTAACTTCTGTCCATGACTTCGCGTCACCAAAATGTAAACCAAAATCGGACTTATGCTATTCTGATTCTTTGACTTTTTCTTTTACGTTTCCTTACTAAAGTTTTAAATTATAAACTATGATCATATATATAGACACGGTACGCAAACGTATCTATAATATATTTCAGGCTGTTATACAAGCTACGAGCAGAATGTTGGTCTGTTTCCTGATTCCCAGTTATTATTACAGAGGGAGTTCAGGAGTTTTGAGAGTTGTCAGGAATGGTGTGATGATACTCCCCGCTGTAAAGGAGTAACCGTGAGTCCCGAGAATTGGGCTACCCGAGAGTGCTTTCTAGTGGGCACTACGCACATAACCGCAAGGAGTGGATGGACTGCGAGTTCTCTAACTGATTGTGACCAGGGTAAATTACACAACGCATTTTTCCTTTTTAAGCTCTAGCGCTTTTTATCGTGCATGGTTTTCCGTAGGCCTCAGTGCCTGAAAGTGGTGCCTCAAGGGCCTTAAAGTGGTGCCTCAAGGGCCTCAGTGCCTCAATGCGTCACAAAGTTATCTGGATCTTGTATGATCCAAGTACAACAGTCCTGGACATCTCACTATCCCAATATACCTTTAAAACAGGATTTACAAAATGAACCACATACAATTTGACTTTTTTTGAAAAATCATCACCGCCTGCCTCATTAGCAAAATTTAGCAAAATTTAGCAAATTTTGCTGTCCACTTTTGTCCGTCTGGCAATGTCCTGTCCTGTCCTTTTTGGATTCTATCTGACAAGCGGACATAGACGGACGTGATCTATCAATTCAAAAATGAGCACCCGTCTGAACAGATTAAGCTGCAGATTACAGATTAAGCTGCAATGCATTACTCAGGAATTTCAATAACATCAGATCCAGAGTCTGTGACTCTGTGTCACTAAGTTCTTCAGTACGCTGTTCGGTTCCTTTTTCACCCTTTTTTGACTTTACCATTTCTGTTGGTACGACCTAGTTTATGTCGATATGATCCTTCAGCCGTTTCAACAGACCATGCATTGGGATGGATCGATTAAAAATGTAATGTCCAAGAGGAGCTCTAACCCTTTAAGTGCTATAGGAATTTGGTACGGTTTTGTACAGTAGGAACGGTGATGTCATTATATTAATTATAAAGCCCTATAAACAATGTAGGAAATGTAAGCTTAATAATATTCAATAGTCATGTCATATATGCTCTACTGAAATTTTGGTCTCCTTTAAAATTAGTCGTCGAAAAATTTAGTCTCATGAAATTTGGTTTACTCCAATTTTCGTCAAAAGTTTGACTAAATTTATGGTAGACTAAATTTGTCGTTCTTAAGGTAAGTAAGAAAAAGCCGAAATAACGTCTTATTTGAAGATTGGATAACTTATGCTCTTGTCTTGACATAGCCGACAATACTTTTTAAAACAGTTTCAAAACAGTTTCACTTTCGTGTGAATGACCTCCTTAAAATGATCAAATTCAGCTACCAATGAAAGCTGAAAGGTGTACTTTACCCTTAATGAACACATATTATATATTATAAGATTGTGAGCAAGAAATAGCCTAAATACAATCATATTTGAAAAGTGATTCACCTATGCTCCTGGCATAACAGAATTATCAAATACTTTAATAATCAGTTTTAATGTAAATTGTACATCCAAAAATAAAATAATCTTAATCAAATTCTTAATTCTCATCAATGATAGCTGAAAAGTGCACTTCAATTTATGTTCTTATTATTTTTAAAATGACGCGACTGTTTCAATTCAAATTCAATATATGTCCCTGTAGGACAGCCACCTCATAAAAACAAATTTTAATGGAAGCGATGATAACAGAACATTTTTATCTTTTCGTCCAATGTACCCAAAGAAAAATATATTACTCAAGAAGCCCACCATTCAAAATACAAGAATTTTGAAATCCAAATATTTTACTTACTACTAGGTGTAAGCTAAATATTTGTTAAGATTTCCGAAAATTTACTGGAAATTATTTCTATCTTGCTCATATTGCTATTTTACCTGGGGACCTCAATACCTCATGCTTTTTCTGTTCATAAACAGATTAAATCGATCATAAACCGATTGAAGCTGCGGCGGAATGACACTAGGCTGAGCGCCGCCCAGCGACTATTTTCAAGCAAGTTAAGGAACTCTTTTCAGATGAAGAACTATTTGGATTCAGAATCGTTGATAAAGATGGCAATGACCTGACGGCGGGAGGACGAGGTTTGTTGCTCTATAAGGGTGGTACAGTTTGTGACGACAGTTTCAACGATTATGCAGCATTTGCGATCTGCAAAGAAATGGGATATGATAGTGCAATAGCCTGGGAAAGTGGAAACTATTTTGATGTTCAGGAAGACTTACTGATAAAACTAGATGATGTCAGTTGCAGTGAACAAAGTTGGTCCTCTTGTTCTTACACCGAGACTAACAACTGCGACCATAGCGAGGATGTCGTTCTCACATGTTCAGGTAACTTTTCTCACCTTGCTAACCCAATTATGGTCATTACTTATGCAGCTGCATATGCAGTAATGGGAGAGAGCGCGAGCCCCGTAACTCTTACCGTTTTCTTGATTAAGCTGCTCAAGCCATTTTATGTAACATTTGTGGTACAAAACCACCAATTAAACCACTTACCACCGACCGATATAAAAAAACCTTTACCTTTTAAATTTGTCAGAGTTTTGTCGGCACTTTACCGAAAAAATCAGCCCCGTAACTCTTACCGTTTTCTTGATTAAGCCGCTCGGAAATTACACACGCACACACAGAAAACACACAGAAAACACACATTCACTCTGAGATTATTGTTTAAGATTATCCACGAGAAAGAATTGATAATGAGATACTATTGGATAATGGATATGTGAGGGCACTCCGAATAGAATTGCTCACCTAATGCGGGTTTTGAATTAGCGGGTAATTACTCCTACCCTTTTTAACTGCGGCAGTGAAATCCCGGCCGAAGGCCGGGTTACACTAGTAGTATTATATAGAGGGGAAAAAGGTATAGTGAGTATAATGGCGGCGGTCGTGCTTGCCAGCACTGTGATATAGATATATCTTTTGGTATATATACCAAAAGTAATTTTAATCTATTTTCAGGAACTCATGATTTTAAACTTGTTGACAACGAAGGAGAGGAAGTTACGGTTGGGGAACGTGGCTTGCTATTGCATAACGAAGGAACAGTTTGTGGGGACGATGAGTTTAATGCCAACGCTGCAAATACGATATGCAGAAAAATGGGGCATTCAGTTGCTAAGAATTGGGGATTTGGAAATCAATCTGAATTTCAGAGTAACTTGACTATAAATTTAGCCGGTGTGAATTGTATTGTCGACGGTTCCTGGTCATCTTGTGATTATAACTTGGATAACCTTACCTCCTGTGAACATAGTCTAGATGTATTTCTCACCTGCTGTGGAGGTATGTTTTTTTGAGAAATTAAAAAAATAAAATAAAATAAACATTAAAATATATCACAGAGATTCTGCATTGTCATAAACTATAGCAGTTAAAATCTTTAATTAGGTAATGATAACCATTAATTTTAAGAGAGCGTTACGAACATCGAGGGCAGGAGTTCTTTGACCATTGGATGTCTTTCCTACGATGAAAACCATCGAAATAACTACACATGCCTCGTGGAATACCCTGATATTGAATTATCACTACAGTCTTATCCGGCGTCCGTCTATGTTAAAGGTTTACTATGTGAAAATTACGTCTGTTCTTATTTTATACCTGTAGCATTCTCAGAAAAATAACGTATAATTCAAAGGTGGTTAATTCCACTCAACATCTCTTAAATGACAGATTTCCAGACAACAAATACAAAATGATAAAAAATATTCTTATTTTTTTTCAATAAAGCCTCTCACTAAGCTTTTTCATCACAGGATTTGTTGAATCAGACCCAGAGATTCACAACAAGCAAGCTGGTGAAAACGTAACGTTAACTTGTTTATACGTGACTACAGGCAATGTATCTGTGTCGTGGACAAAGGTAAATATAATTGATAGAATGTAAATGTCTAACGCTTTTTCCCGTCCAAAGATTGTGCATGTGCACTGTGCAGTAGTGTGTAGTGTTTATTAAAGAATTTAAAAAGCCCTTATAATACTTTAATATCACTAGCAGGAACCCGTCGCGTTTTTGACACTTATACTTGGGGTCAAAATTTTGGGCTCTAAAATTTTTATTCCTTGGCCCATTTTTATTTTTTCATGCTGATTTGGAGGCCATTAAAGCATTTGACCCAGCCAAAAAAGTTTCAGTTGTATATATTGTATGGTTTTTGCGGAAAGTCGCGTTAAAGTTGATGCCGTGGTGTCACTGTCAGTAAAATGGTGCGGATAAACACATATACATATATATATTATATCACCTTAATAACACAAGAATGTGTGTGTGTGTGTGTGTGTGTGTGTGTGTGTGTGTGTGTGTGTGTGTGTGTGTGTGTGTGTGTGTGTGTCTGATGATCGTCTGTGTGTCCGTGTGTAATTTCCGGTCGGTTATATCAAAAAAACGGTAAGAGTTACGGGACTGGTTTTTTCGGTATAGTGTCGACAAAACTCTGACGAAGCCCATAAGCAATTTTTTTAAAATCGGTCGGTGGTAAGTGGTTTAATTGATGGTTTTGTACCAAAAATGTGACATAAAATAGCTTGAGCAGAACGGCAAGAGTTACGGGGCTTGCTCTCTCTCTCTCTCTCTCATTACTGTATTATATGTAGCGTCATAATTGGGTTAGCCCAGGAAGATTCGCTGTAATGTTATACCATAAGCTTATTAGGGGAGGGGGGACTGTTAGTGTTTGAGGTCTGTTTGGACTGCAGAGAGAGAGTTCATACGACAATGTAATGTTATGCCTGTTTTCAAATATAATAGGCGGGTGTGGTGCGGAGTTAACAAGGGTTAATTTCTATAACGATTTAAATAAAAATGGAAAGCGGTTCAAGACTTACTGGGTGGCGCTCAGCCTGTCATTCCGCCAAATCTTTATGAACATAATAGCCTGGAGTCCCCAGGTAATTCAAGACGGGAGTGATGAGGTGTAATAGTCGGTGTGCAGACCTTATGAATATGATCATGGAATGTGGTGCCTAATGGCTAATAATGACTTAATTATTCACGAGAAAGAACTGATTATGAGATTATTGTTTAAAATGCTTTTGGGTCACCTAATGCGGGTTTTGACTCAGCGGGTAATTACTCATACCCTTTTTAACTGCGGCAGTAAAATCCCGGCCGAAAGCCGGGTTACACTAGTATATAATATATATACATAATTGTGGGTGGCGTCGTCTGCTGAAGAAGGAGGAACCACAGGGTCCTTTGGTTCAATCCCCCTTCTCTGTCACTGTGGAGACCAATGATGGAAGGAAATTCTTCAATCTGTTGGAGAAACACTTCCCTCGGGACAATCCACTACACAAGATCTTGAACCGGAACAGTGTAAAAGTCTCATACAGCTTTATTAAAAATATGGAATGCCTCATAAAATCCCTGAACAAGCAGTTGATTCGTCAGCACCAGGAAACCCAGGAACCCACCACACGGCACTCGGCAGTGCTACTGCCGCTCCAGGAACTCCTGCCCACTAGACGGAAAGTGTTTATCGAAGTCTGTGGTATACATGGCGACCCTCCGTACGGAAAATGAGAAGCACCACTACATCGGAATGACGGAACGCACATTCAAGGAACGGTACAACGGGCACACGTCATCATTTCGCCTGGAGTGGTACCGAAATAGAACCAAACTGTCGGAGAATATCTGGTCCTTCAAAGACCGTGAGTTAGAATTCATATCAGGATCGAATGGACAATAATCAGACGTGGACACGGATACAGAGCCGGCCAGAACAGCTGCGATCTGTGCACGTCTGAGAAATTGGAAATCTTACTTCGATCCTCTGGACCTCTGAGCCACACTTAACTCCAGGATGGAAATCCTTACAAAATGCCGCCAAAAACGGAAATCGGGAAATTCCTTTTATAATCTAATGACTCATATATGAATATCTAACCCCTAGTATTGTTTCACGAGTGAATGTTTATGTTAACTTTTAGCTTTGTAATTTTAATTTTAGTTCCTATACCTCAGTTGTCACTGATGATATCATGGTTTTGTATCATAATTGAAACATTTGTCTGACTCAACCGGTCGTTTCATTTTGTATATATATATTATTAGTCAGCCACAACTATCAGTAAAACAACGCCTTGACTTCAAATGTCGGTAAAATGTACCTTTACAGTCATCCTGATATAAAGACATGTTAGTAAATTTATTCAAAATATCAATCCATCAATCAATCAAATAAATGAAATTTAAAATTTAGAAATTTATGTAACTCAGCAATTCAAATTATGGTGGGTGGAAATCCCAAATGAGTGGTAGAGGTGAGAAAATAAAATAAGCAAGAAAAAATCATCTTTCTTCTCTAACATTCATCCCTTCAAAGTGTTTTAAAGTTTTAAGCTGGTTTTGCCAAAAGTTCTCCCTTTGTTTACATATACTTAGTCTATCCTGGGCACATTGCTCAAAATTCCCAACGTCAACTTGCTCTATAATAGAAACATTAATGTCCTTACTTAAAGTACTGGTAAAAAACTTAGTGGTAGTACGGTCAAGATTGTGCAAACCTCATTATCTATAAAATGGCAGGAAAGTTCACAAGTCCTTAATTGAGTTTTAATGTGGGATTTATATATATATATATATATATCGTCTCGCTTTATATATAGTAAAATGGAGCTACACCAGGTTTAAGGACTTCCATCTCATTACATAATATTCATCATTAAATAAATATAATAGATTTGTAGTGCTGTAATTAGTTTGAGTTTGCTAATTAATGTATGTTAACAAATTTTAGGGTTCTGAAAGTCTGTTCACCGGACTAACGACGTATCTCGGTGATGGTGTGACCCAGGGAGCTTTGGTGTTATCTAATCTGTCCGTGACAGACTCTGGATTGTATAGTTGTTTTGCAGAGGAAGAAGGAAGAGAATCATATGTTGCAGTTACTCTCAATGTGTTTGGTTGGTTCAAAAACATGTGTTAATAAAACAAAATTAGATAAAACAAAATTGTATTTTATACCCACAATCAATTTATATTTAGTCAACAAATTTAAAGTCAAATTAACCATTTGTTGTTATTCCTTATCGGAATTTATTTATTATATCTAGTAGCTCTGGTGTTCAGCAATAAAATTTACATTGCATTTACATAACTATTTTGAAATTTTGTATTTATTAACAGGATATTGTTCTTTTTAAAAATTACAGCTAAATCTGTATATTGAAATATGCATATCAGATCTGTTTAAATTTTCATATGGAATAATAACTTACCTAATAATGAAACAAATGCCTCTTGCAATATATGTGTACCAATTGGCATTTGCTCCATATATAAGGAGTAGACGCTACAACATGTGGAATAAAACCACTATAATGTATAAAAGTATAAACAATTATCTTGAAAATCAGGATTTTATCTTTTTTTTATAATTGCTATTTCCATCAGGCATTATATCTTCTCCTGTCAATTCTATTGGATACTCTGGGGATAAACTAACACTTCTTTGCGAAGCCAGTTACTTTCCAAATATTCCAATGACTATTCATGTTTGGAAGGCTGAAGCTGGCAGCAACTTTTCTAAATCAGGTATCCTACAATATTGAGAGTTATTTTTGAAAAAAATTTGTTACTCAAGGAAAATTTTGTATTCTTAAGAAAACTTAGTTATTGAAAAAAAGTGAGTTTTTATAGATCCGATTTTCTTTGTTAGGAGCTGTGGTCAAGATTACCACTATTAGATAGAGCATTACAGCTTCGTGCTTACCCCGGTAATATTTTTAATGTGAAGCGTATTCGTGTAGGAAAGAAGGATGTATGTTCACCTTTATTACCGTTATATCAACCGACGAAGAAACATATACGTTATCAACAGAGCGGATTATACCGTTTTTGATAAAATGCCTTTATTTGCTTGATAAACTTTCAAGTCCTGGTATATCCACAGATATGTTCAATAAGCTATGTATAAAAGAAAACTACGATTTCATGGGAGCTGACATAATAATGGTAAATGACGTGGACTCTTTTATGGACTGTATAGCTCTGTGCTTTGACCAGGCTGGCTGTGTCTCAGTCACCCACCAACCAGCCACCTCCAGATGCTGGCTCAAACACACGGAGTTTGGTGATAACCCTCAGGACATGGACGGGGTCAACAGCAGTAATCTCAAATGTTGGCCAGGTAATTTGTTGATTAGTTACGTAATTTCTTTATAATCGGAATATTTGTTGACTGCACCTTTTATTACTACTAGCAGGAACCCGTCTAACCTAAAGTGGTGTCAAGATTCGACAGACTAAAATAACTATTACCTATTTAATTCGCGTTTTTGACACCGAATTTGTCAATTTATGGGCACTAATATTCTTATTCCTTGTCCAATTTTTTTAATTTTTTCATGCTGATTTGAAGGCCATTAAAGCATTTGAACCAGTCAAAAAAGTTTAGGTTGTATATCTTTTACGGTTTTTTGCAGAAAGTCGTGCTAAAGTTGATGCCATGCCCATATTGGTGTCACTGTCAGTAAAATGTTACAGATAAACATATACATATACATATACGTACATACATACATGTTACATGGTAAGGTCTCCTCCTAGTCGTTGGAGTGGCCTGCATCACACACATCGCGTTGGCGGCGTAACATATGTCTCCACTGTACTCGGTTGGTAGCCAAAGCTTCTGTTGTGTCGTTGTCAATGTTTTCAACACCTGTAAACTTAGCAGCATCTTCGAGTACGCAGGACTTCCAGTTCTTACGGGGTCTGCCCCTTGACTTCTTTCCATAATTTGGCTTCCAGTTCAACAGAAACCTCGGTAGTCTAGAGTCTGGCATTCTAACTACATGTCCATACCAACGTAGCCTGGCAGCACTGATGAAAGTCTCAACTGACTTGATGCCAGCCCTCCTAAGAACTTCGTCGTTGGTCACATGAAAGAACCATTTAATCCTAAGGATCCTTCTCAAGGAGGTTTGATGGAAAACCTCGAAGCGTTTCATCTGCTTTTTGGTGGTGTTCCAGACTTAAGCTCCATACAACAAGATGGTGAGGACAGCAGCCCTATAGATCCTGATCTTGGTTGGAGTCTTTATAGTTCTGCTATTCCAAATGTTCCAGAGCTGATGAAAGGCGCCATTAGCCTTCTGAATACGGACATCCAGGTCTCTGTTGATTGTCCCATCCCCACTGATAGTTGCACCCAGGTAGCCAAAGTTGATAACCTGCTCGACGGGTTCACCCTCAACCGACAGCTCAATACAATCATCCTTGATGAAAGGTCGCTGGGAGGCGCACTTACTTACAGCTATGCATTGGGTCTTCTTTGCATTTATTCTGAGCCCAGCGTAGGAGCTGTAATGAACTAATAGATCAGTTGATTCCTGTAGGCCCTCCCCTGAGTTGTCCATAATAGCCATGTCATCAGCATAATCGGTGTCCAGAATGACCTTTTCCTCGACCGTCTTCATCTCTTTCTGCAGCACTGCGCCTTGACTGATGATCTTGTTGGTCTCAGCCAGAAATGCAGAAAAGTTTAGGCAGAAATTAAAGACAGGAGGTGCTTGAATGTCACCCTGACCTGTGCCTGAGTTAACATCAAACCAGTCTGTCAGCTCCCCATTAACCCTCACGGCACTCATGGTACCCCCAAAAAAAGACTGAAATATTCTGACATATTTTTCAGGCAGCCCATAGTGTCTCATACTGCACCAAATAAAGTCCCTTCTGATAGAATCGAACGCTGCCTTGAAATCCACAAAATTAATGTAAAGAGGAATGTTAAACTCAAGACAGTTATGAATAATAGTTCGGAGAGAATAAATCTGATCAATACATGAGCGGTTTTGTCTAAATCCGCACTGGTTCTCCCTGAGGAGACACTCCATACCAGCATGTAACCGCTTATATGTATATATACAATATACATCCATATATATCGTCTCGCTTTATATATAGTAAGATATATATCTTCTCGCTTTATATATAGTTAGATCATAGAAATTGAAATTGGCCACAATTGAAAAGTAGCCATATCCTGAAAAAACTTTCAACGGGTTTTGATAGTTGGCTTGGACCGTAAACGGACACACTATATTTTAATGGACATTTATAAAATTAACGGTAGGGCCTCCAGACACAGAAACAGCAGTTATAGAATCAACCGAAAACGATGACGCTGCCAACGGTTTGTTTAAATTATTCAGTTAAAGTATATTCTCTTGAGACCAGTCCTTTCCTCAAATGAATTAAATAAGATTCGTTGCAGTGCAATCTTGCCGCTCGTCACAGCTGGTGCTGTAAAACCCCATTTTACTGCGGCTGTTTCCTTTCTCTAAGGCTTGAATTTCGCAGTATATTGTGAGTTTACAGCACATTCATAACCACTAACCAATGCATTCAATGATCAATCTCTGCCATGAAAAATATCTAAAGCATGCTGGTTTATATACATTTGAACGTGCACAATATTTAAAGCATGCTGGTTTGTATAAATTTGAACGTGCACAAAATCTAATGCATACTGGTTTGTATACATTTGAACGTGCACAATATCTAAAGCATGCTGGTTTGTATACATTTGAACGTGCACAATATCTAAAGCAATAAAGCATACTGGTTTTTAAACAATTGAACGTGCACAATATCTAAAGCATGCTGATTTGTATACATTTGAACGTACACAATATCTAAAGCATACTGGTTTGTAAACAATTGAACGTGCACAATATCTAAAGCATGCTGGTTTGTATATATTTGAACGTGCACAATATCTAAAGCATACTGGTTTGTATACATTTGAACGTACACACATGGTTTCAGACACGTTTTCACTTGTTGATATCGAAGGCGGAGCAGCTGCGGCCGGAGAACATGGTTTGTTGCTGTACCAAAATAAAGGTACTGTTTGTGCGGGTCCTCACTTTGATGGCACCGCTGCAAATGCAATTTGCAAAGAAATGGGGTATTACAGTGCCAAGAGGTGGGAAGTGGGAGATTACTTGCAGGGGAGCCTGAACATTTCACTTGCTAGTGTGAATTGTGAGAATGATACGTGGGAGTCCTGTGATTACTCAGAGACAATCCCTTCCTCCTGTCACCATGGTCAAGACGTGTTTCTAACCTGTTGTGGAGGTAGATAAATATATTAATGAGTAAATAAAATTAAGTTTTTTACAGCACAATTATAATCGTAAGTATGAATTTCTAGCCCCAGATATGAAATATGATGAAACGAGATCTTCCACATATCAAAATTGCAGATTGAGATAATTCATAAGAAATGCCAAGTATCATGGTGCTAATATTGAATTGGAGGTCTGCATGAAAATACTCTATCCATTCATTAGACATAACAAATAATGGTATGCAATTATTTCAAAGACCGAAACTAATAATACAACTTTTTTTTAGATTCCATGGTGTCAACCACAGAGGGTAAAGCCACTCTGACTATCGGATGTCTTTCTTATGACAGAAACAATGAAGACAAGTACAAATGTTTTGTTGACTACTCAGATGAAGGTATAACTCTTCAGTCGCGTGATGCAGCGCTTATTCATGTAAAAGGTTGGTTATACATACCTTGGATTAATTTTTTGATTGGATTAGTGGTGTTCCTAAAACTGGTACATACTTTATAACCTGGAGGGGTTGTCTAAAATATATAAGTGATACGAAAAGTTTATTAAGCAGGATCAGCGTTCAAATTACTTTTAACTTGTGTAAATCGTATTCCGCATTATAACCTAACTATTTATCCCCCAAAGGATTTCTTGGATTCAACTCAGTGGTGCACAAAGTAATTGCTGGTGACGAACTTTCTATCTCTTGTACTTACATGACAACAAAGAATGTATCTGTTGCCTGGAAAAAGGTTATTTTTTATAAATAACCGAACGTTTGAGGGAACCCCCTTAATCTTTTCTTTGAATAGACATTTAGGAACACTTTTTTATCAATAACTTGGCTTTGTACAAGAAACATGCTTCATCCTTTAATCTGTAAAATTACATAAAATAGATTTTTTAGGGCCTGTCGTGATATCATGGATCGCTTAGGTTCCACCAGGATCTGGTAGTCCTCATAATTCTGCGGCCTCTATGTGTCGTCATCTCGCACAACTCCGAAAAACCGTTGTGAGTTTGGCATGTGAAATTTGCAGCCCTCCAGACATCGATTGGGTTAACGAGTTGTCGTACGTCACCTCAAGATCGGGTGACAGGGGGCTGAACAGGCCAGAACCCAATTGATTGGGTCTGAGGTCACGTGATTATGAGCCTGAGGTCACGTGACTATGACGTCACCAGAGCTCGTTCTCCGTTTCCCGCTCTTTGGACCAGGTGAGCTTGCATGCTTGTGAAAGTGGGTGTAAGTACAGCTGTACTGTAGTTACATCCAATTACCCCTAATAGAATGAAGATTTATTTTCTGACAGAAAGCTAGAAATTTACCAAAATATCGACTTAGTTCAAAATTTATTTTGATGACCACTCCTGACCTAAAATTGCACGAGAAATCGATTAAACTTGGTTTCAGAACTCAACAATGCTTCCTTATGCCTTAAAATCCATTTTTATCGATACAATAAACATTTTGATCCTGTGGATTAATTAGTAACAGGTAACAAATGCACAAAAAAAACCATCGCACTTACATTGCATTCTTAACGGGTCGATTTCGAGTGACCAATAATCGTCGTGATGATATTTATACGTCATGCGTTCCTGATCATCATCAGCAATCAAGAGACAGGAGCGGCGATTGCTTTAAATCAACGGTTTACGTTATTTTTGTGAATTCGACCCCTGTTTTTAACGGTTATCACACTTTGTCATTGAATGTATTGAGGATAGCTTTACAAATAAGAGGACCAGTAAATAAAATTGTCACAAGTGTTTCTCTCATTCACTTTCGATAAGACACAATGAAAATTCTTACTTAACCATAAGATTCGGAATTTTTCAACATTTGAAGAATATCGGCATTTTATAAAATGTAAGTTCAATTTTTACAAAAAATCAACGAATCGTATGGTCGACAGGTTCAAGTCTACTAGCAGGAACCCGTCTAACCCATTTTGACAGGTCACGGGACCACCACGAATTGAATTATAAAGATCTATCCAAATTCCACGAAGACTACGGACCAAGTTTAAATACTTCATTATAGTTGGATTCGGGAAGCAGTTCAATTGTGCTTTGCACGGAACAACTTATATCACGAGACCGCCATTTCTGTTGAACCGAGAGATTGCAAATCAAACTAGTTTCAATTTCAGATCACCTTTTATGTGTTCATTTGTGGTGGACTGGTCAGTATACAAACGTGGCACGTGCGGGCATATTTCTCAGTTTGAGTTACGAATTGCTTCATGCCTGAGTTAAGTAATTCTTTGTGGTCGACTTGCTTTCGATTAAAACTTCATTAAATGAAATCGCTTTACTTGCTGGACAACAAACGCAGCCACGTCGTAATTCTCCCAATAACTGCTGTGTAGAAGAGCTGGCAGGATGAGAGAAGGAAAAGAGCGCATAGCTTCAGGATAGCTTTACAAATAAGAGGACCAGTAAATAAAATTGTCACAAGTGTTTCTCTCATTCACTTTCGATAAGACACAATGAAAATTCTTACTTAACCATACGATTCGGAATTTTTCAACCGTTGAAGAATATCGGGCATTTTTCAGAATTTGACCGCCAAATTTTGTTAAAGGCCTAACTTAAAATTCTAATACAAAACTTAAGGTCATGAGGCGATTCTACGTCGATTCTGAAAATTTCATGAAAAACTATTGAAACCCTATTGAGTTCTATTGTTTTGAGCGAAGTCAGTTTTGCAAATATCGCGAACTGATATATGGGCGATTTTGTTCATTTTTTGCAACTATTTGAACACAGAATCCACAGTTAGGTAGATATTGAGCTGATAATCATAGAGAATGTGTAGTATAGGCTTACCTTCCATATAAAGTTGGTTTCATTCAAAAATATTGATATTTGACCAATTTATGGGCAAAAATCGATCAAATTTGGTGCGTATGCCCAAATATGGTCATATGGTTTTTGGCTCATAACTCAGTCATTTTTTGTCCAATCTTGATGAAAATTCATATACGAGTTCAGGGGACCACTAGTTACAAAAAGAGCACCTAAAATTTGGGTTTTGGGCATGTTCAGGGTATTTGGCTAAATTGGGCCTGATTTGGACCAAATATGGGCGTGGCTGCCCCGCGGGCACCGTTTGGCGGTTGGGGTCCGGGACCCCCTCAAAAGTTCGGTCACCGGTCCTAGTTTGTTGGTTAACTGCTATCTCGAAACTAAGTTTCACAAAAAAATCAGGAGAACCCCCCCCCCCCCCCCCCCCCCCCCCCCCCCCCCCCCCCCCCCCCCTTAAGGCATAAGGAAGCATTGTTGAGTTCTGAAACCAAGTTTAATCGATTTCTCGTGCAATTTTAGGTTAGGAGTGATCATCAAAATAAATTTTGAACAAAGTCGATATTTTGGTAAATTTCTAGCTTTCTGTCAGAAAATAAATCTTCATTCTATTAGGGGTAATTGGATGTAACTACAGTGCAGCTGTACTTACACCCACTTTCACAAGCATGCAAGCTCACCTGGTCCAAAGAGCGGGAAACGGAGAACGAGCTCTGGTGACGTCATAGTCACGTGACCTCAGGCTCATAATCACGTGACCTCAGACCCAATCAATTGGGTTCTGGCCTGTTCAGCCCCCTGTCACCCGATCTTGAGGTGACGTACGACAACTCGTTAACCCAATCGATGTCTGGAGGGCTGCAAATTTTCACATGCCAAACTCACAACGGTTTTTCGGAGTTGTGCGAGATGACGACACATAGAGGCCGCAGAATTATGAGGACTACCAGATCCTGGTGGAACCTAAGCGATCCATGATATCACGACAGGCCCTATAGATTTTTATTTAAATCGAAAGTTGTTACAATTACCGCTAAAAACTATAAAAATGTTTAGGAAGGAACAAAAAGATGTGCACAGGGAATATCTGTTTACCATGGCAACGGAAGGAACCAAGGCACCTTAACATTCTCAAACATTTCTGTTGCAGACTCTGGTGGATACAGTTGCTGCGCTGTGGAGGACGGAAGGGAGATACTGTCTTCTGGGATAGCCAATGTAAAAGTAATAGGTAGGTATCATAACTTGGTAGATGTGTTCGTTAAAACTGAAGATGTAATGTGTATTCTAAATTGAGTTCTCGATCCGGCAAGTAAGTATTGAAAACATGTTTAACTTTTGAGATGTAGTGCATAAATGAGAAAATGCATGGACATTGGACAGCCACGCCTAATTCTACAGTTTTTAAAAACTTCATAATATGATTTTTTCAAGTGTGCCCCAAGTAACTTTTTGCCTCGGCTGTGCCCCAACTGTGCCCTATAAATGGTGTCCCAAGTATGTGTAGTTTCCCTAAACTGTGCTTCAAGTCATTTTTTGCCTCGACTGTGCCCCAAGAGTGCCCAAACTGTATTTGCCCCTACTATGCCCCAAGTGTGCCCCAAGTGTGCCCCAAGTAACTTGTTGCCCCAAGTGTGCCTAGCTAGATTACCAACCGGTCTGATTTAAACATAACTTTCTTTTTTTGTGGAGAGGCTGGGCAATATAACTTGTTGTTGTTGCTGTCATTTTCATTCACTGTAGTGTCATATTTATTAAATGTCATATCTTTTAAACATCTTCAGCTCAGTGCAGTGACTTTATTTTCAGATATAGTTACTCAACCTGTTTCCACTGTTGGATTCTCAAATGATGCTTTGACTCTTGATTGTTTTCTAAGCTATTTTGACGAAAACACCAGTATGTATTGGGAAGATGAAAACGGAATCAAATTAAGAGGTTTAATTTTAAATCTAATTTTAGATTCATATTGCGAGTATTTTTTAATTATCAGTATCACCGTTTAAGATTCGATAAAATACGATCTTTTAATCATTTATTAGTTTGCTCAATTAGCTGCCCTGACGTTAAAAATGCGGCTCCTGCTATGTGTTGGTCCGACCAATTAAATGTAAGATATTTGTGTTAATTGTCCGTTCCTTAACCATGCCATAAGTAATCATTGTGCGTTAACTGGGCCATTAACAACCATTGTGTGTTAACCGTGTATTAATTAACTGTGCCTTAACCGTGTGTTAAGTGTGCGTTAAGTGTGCGTTAAGTGTGCGTTAAGTTTGCGTTAAGTGTGCGTTAAGTGTGCGTTAAGTGTGCGTTAAGTGTGCGTTAAGTGTGCGCTAAGTGTGTGTTAAGTGTGCGTTAAGTGTGCGCTAAGTGTGCGTTAAGTGTGCGTTAAGTGTGCGTTAAGTGTGCGTTAAGTGTGCGTTAAGTGTGCGTTAACCATCGACAGATTACCGAATCACCAAACTAAGTTACTGTTATTTTTCATCCAGCCATTCAGTATGCAACTTACAATGCAATCCCATTTTTGAATTTGTTTTGTATCAGAATACTGTCAATGTAAATTTGAATGTAACACTCAATTTTCTTATATGATATTTAATTGAATTTTCAAATAAAACAATAAAGCAATCATCAGTAATTTAAATTGATATAATTTATTTTTGAAATACGAAACTGAAAAATAGGCCAAGGAATAAAAATGTTAGTGCCAAAAATTAGGACCCCCGTCCAGGTGGTGTCAAAAACGCGAATTAAATAGGTAAAAATTATTTTAGACATTTAGTCTCTAATTGAGTCTTGATATCATTTTAGAGTAAGAGTTAGACGGGTATTTGGCTTATTAAACGGATTAAACGGATTAAACGGATTAAACGATTCAAAAGTCAAACTACAATGGTAATGTCTGACCAGATATAAAAAATTAAATTTACCCAAAAGTCATAAAGTATATATATACAATGAACCCCGTAAATCTTAAGAGTGAGATTTAAAATACCTTATCGGACCTTATTTGGACGGACATTACATGAACGGACATAATTATGAACGGACATTAATATGAACGCTCGAAGGCATTCAAAACCATTAAAAATCCGAATTTTTTTCAATTTTTTGACGTTTTTTAATTTCAGCAAATGATTTTTAAATCCATTTTTTATACAGTAAGTAAGAAAAGCAGTCATTAAGCAGTAAAAATGTTAAAACATGTGTACATGATCAGTGTCTAATAAGTAATATCACATATTATCATCTTCTCAAAATGAGTTTTCGTGCATGAAATAGTCCATGCTTAAACAAGCATCAGTGATTTCTAGCTTTATGGAAACCTTTTTATCAAACTGCATACCCCGGTCCTGCATTTCAGTGTTAACTTTTACAAGCCATTCGGCGTGAAGTAGTTTTATCTTAGACAACTTTAGGTTAACCTTAACATCACGTGGAGCTTTCCTAGCACTGTTTCATTACCTCCTCTCAGTAATATGAACTATAACAACGTCGGGCAATGTCCTTGGCAACACGATTTACCGTAATATCTAGAGGCTGGAACAAGTTTGTCATGTTGGCGGGGACTAGCTCATGAACTATGTTGTCGAGTGCCATAATTTCGTTGACTTTTTCCGCCAAGTGACCCTTGAAAACATCATATACTAGTAGAGTTTTCTGTGCCTCCGGCAGACCAAGGAGAACCTTTCCGTCGTTAACTTACGGCACAATAAAGTTCTCATAGTTGTCATAATCATATTCTGGACAAAAAGTTCGAAATGGAAAAATTTTTGAAAAAATTTCAACGGACTTTAACTTGGACGGACATTAATTGAACGGACTTTATTTGAACGGACATTAAGGTGAACGCTAGGGCCTCAAACGTCCAAGTAATGTCCGTCCAAATAAGGTCCGATAAGGTACTTAATAATTTAAATGAACTCTTCTGAAAGTGTTCCGAGTCATAGATTATAATTTGGCAATATTGTTAATGTTAGGAATTTGTTTGGAGGACGCTTTAGGGAATCTTCGTTCATGAGCTTTGGTAAGGAACCTTCCTAGGTCTCCGATGGTTGTAGGGTGTGCGAAGATCTGTACAATGTCAGAAAAGAGTAATGTTTTACTTTGTTGGGACAAACAGTGGCGGAGATCTTCATAGAGAGGGCAAGTACGCAATACATGAAGTTCATCTTCGATGATTGGATCAGGGAAAGGAAGCTCTAGAAGAAGATCGAGTGACTCCACATCTGTAGTAGAACAGTGTTTGCATGCCCTATTCGAAAGTTTATGTCGATGCATGCCGTGTCTTCCAGTTTCGATGTTGTATTGATGCGAGCTTGTTCTGAGTTGCGCAAGTCTCCTAGTCTGCTGTGGCCGTAGGTTGATCGACAGGTATGTTTCGCAACCGAAGCTTGCCTTGATGAGGTTGTAGAATCCTAGTTTTCTGTTGAGTTTTCGCTCTTTGTTCCATTGTTGAACGAAAAGGGTTTTCATAGCCTCGCTGATTTTGAGCGGGTTTGAAATATCACTTCCTCCTGTCAGTTGTTTCACTGTGTTCTTGGTGGATTCCAGCCGGGAGAACCATAACAGTTTCAGATCCCTCTGCTCGGCGTAAGCGTGCCACACTAAAGAAGAGCATCCCTCTTTGTCCAGTCCCTCCAACCTCCCAAGGTAGCTATAGACTTGGGACGTAAGCTCGATGGCAAGCGGGTATCTTCCAGTGTCACCCCACACAGCGGTGTTTGAAGTCGATTTGTTGACATTCATAGTCCATTTCATAAATGATAGGTGAACTTTCTCCAGGGGGTCTTTTGCTGTATCCTGAGTAGCCGGATAACTCCCCGAAGCAAAGATAGACATGAAGTTTGTCATGGGAAGCCAGATCTGACACCCGTAGGATAGAACAGGAACAATCAGAGTGTCGAAAAGCTTAAACACAGTTGTCTTCCGAAGGTATCGAAGGTCAAGCAAACTCTTGAGAGAGAAGTAGCTCCGGAGCCCTTTTTGTCTAAGCTTTATCTGAGCAAGTTTTAATGATCCCGTGAGTGTGAACGTAATTCCAAGATATGTGTACTCACGCACTGATGGCAAGGTCATTTCCCCGTAGACAAAATTAGTACTGTCCTTGAGCACCCGTCCTGCCCGGTTAAACACCATAATTGCTGTTTTTGATATGTTAACCGATAACCCCCACTCTTGACAGTAGGTGTGTAAAACTTCTAACATTCTTTGAAGACTCTCTTGATCAAGAGCCAACAGAATCAAGTCATCGGCCCAGAGGAGGTGGGTTACTCTAGTACTTTTCAGTAACGGTACTTCGACATTTTCCATAGAATTAAGGTCTTCTGATAGTTGGTGTATGAAGCATTTGAAGAGTTCTGGAGACATGGGGTGTCCTTGTTCAGTCCCGCAAAGAACATCGATCTTTTCAGAGAGCTTGTTCAAGAGCTTGATTTTTGCTTTGGAGTTTGCGTACATGAACTCCATGCAACCAAAGAATCTTCCTTTGATGCCTAGTTTCCAGAGTTTGTACAAGAGTGCCTCCCGGCAGACTGTATCAAACGCTTTGGCGTAGTCAACAAAACAGGAGAACAATCTGCCTTTGTTAGCTTTTACATATTTTTCTATGCAAGTCGACAGTGTCAATAAATGATCTGCTGTTTGCGCGTTTTTGCAAAACCCCAGTTGATTGGGGGTGTCAGGGTTTGTCTCAGCACGGAATTTTATAATTCTCTGGAGGAGAATACTTGCAAACAGTTTTCCCACGTTGCTGGCTACTGCAATTGCCCTATAGTTGTTGGGATCGTAGATGTTGCCTTTTTTAAGCAGAGGCGTCACAACAGATGTTCCCCAGGGATAAACTCTGTGTGATAAACATAGGTTAAAGAGATGCAGTATAGCGCACTGCATATGTTTCCCAGAGAGTTTAAGAAATTCATTTGGGATTAAATCCTCCGACACTGCTTTCCCTTTCTTGAGCACTCGAGTACAAGCCAACAGTTCTTCGGAGCTTATGTCTTGGTCAAGGATTTCTGTGAGTGTTTGCTGGGTGGCATCTCTGTCCATTTCTTTTGTAGTTCTTTTATTTTCTTTGGGCTGATCGATGGTTTACTATACAGCTCTTTGAAGAATTTGCTGAAGTTAAGCATATCAAAGACGTCCAAATTGCTTCCATTTGTCTTCATATCTTTAAGCCTCTTGAAACGGGACCAGTTACTATTTTTGCCTCGTTCGATGTCACTACATAGGTCCTCTATGAATGCAAACTTTTTAAGTTTTATGAGTTTCCGATATGATCGTCGACTTTCATAGTAAGAGTCTCTGAGTTTTTTATTCGTAGGATTTTTGCCGTAACTTTTGGACAGTTTGTTCAACTCCCGCTTGCCGTTTATACAACTTACATCAAACCACGGAGCTTTGGGCTTCATCCTTTGTCTCCTTTTTCTTTTTCCGCTCACTATTTTCCTATCTGGCTTGTTCCTCGGACCCTTTGTCGGAAGAATAACATCGCAATGTCTTGGAAGATAGATACGAGTTCTTCATTAAGACACAAAACTTGTTTTCTGTCTGTGCATTGGGTTTCCGCGATTCGGGTTATTTTCTGAACAAATTCTGGCGAATTCTGGATCGCATGAAACTGAAATTGAAGTTTCTCGTCCTCATTATCCCATTTTTTTAGGTGCGTCTTCTAGTGTTTCAAGTAGATCCTCTGCATCAACCAAGTTGTGTTTGTGCTTTATTTTGCAGATGCACGGCTTGTGGTCAGAAAATTTGTTAAGATTCTGCACTTGGAATGACAGCACTGATTCCAACAATTCAGGTGTGACTGCCATATAGTCAACTACGCTGGCACCATTGTAGTTGACAGAGGTATATTCCCCAAAGATGTCTCCCAGTGTATTACCATTTAGCAGCGATAGCAGCGATTACAAGCGAGGAAATCTAACAGTAGGTTA